CGCAATCTCCCGGCGGACGAGCGGTATTTTCTCGATCCAACTGAGCATCCTGGTCAGAGGGTTTTGGAACTCATGTCTTCGCGTGTGATTTCGCGAAATCCCGAAATCCTCACGGACGCCTTTCCATCAGCCAACCAGCTGCTCCAAGTGGCTGTGCAAAATTGGGAGAATGGCAAGATTGTTGTCGAGCTCGTGTCTTCCCACCAGTTCTCCCAGTCAGATGTTGAAATCCGGTCTATAAGCCGGCATTGTGACCAAACACTGCACATTTTGATCATTCTCGACTCGAGCCCCGTGGACAATCATCGCACGTTGACAATGTATCGTCACTGGAAGGTCATTGCGGAGTCGGTTATCAGGGCCGCAGCACAGCACCAACTCGGCTTGTCTTACCATGACTCTATCCTTGCTGAGCTGCTGGTTGTTGATCACTTTGATGACATTGGGGTATCCATTCCTGAAGGAGTCAAGCGCCAGCTCAAGATGTCATCCATGGAGCGAACTCGGGTCATCCGTGAGGGCAACCAAACTCTCCTCCGCTACACGCTTCTCGGCGTGGACTTGGAGCGGGAGTGGGACCTGCTTCCCGAGCACATTCGGCGCTTCCTGCTTCAGCGCTGTGATGGATGGATTGGACCGTTGTCAAATAGCGAGGAGAACTGGCTGTATCATAGACTTGTCTCTCAAGGCTCTTCCGGGAATGTAGGGAGTCACATTGCTCGCTGCAAACTGGGCGCCGCTCTCACCACCACCATTCTCACATACGCGCACGATCTTGAGGCTGACGGCTATCTTGAAAGCCCACCCCACGCTGACATTGAAGACCATGGGGACAGTGTCCAATTCGATGATGAGACCCCAAGCACAAGGTTTGCATCGCTTATCAAGCCTTTTTCATCACGCATTCTTCAAAAGGTCAAGCTGTGCATCAAGTTCTTAATCATTTCCTTGATTGCCGACCCGGAGTACCAGAGGGAGCTGGACTTTGTAATCCAAGATAAGCCGGGCTTCATTCGCTGGCCATTGGTCTTCTTTCTCAACACCATCTGGTCCTACTGTAAATTCTGGCAGAACGTGCTCATCCCCTTGGTTCTATTCCACGGGCGTGAGCACGTGGCCAGGGTCCAGAAACACATCAAAGGCATGACAACTGTTCTGGAGAAGCGCAAGATTGTCACCGAAAGCTTTAGTGGCCCATCTACCTGGTTCTGGACTGTTCGGGCCGACGGCAGCTTGAGAGTGTCTCAATATCAGGGTCGCCATGATAGTGAACCCAGCAACATTCAGAAGCTCATGGCCGTCAACATGTACACGAACAAGCTGATCTTGGAGCAGAGGGACGTCTACCACAAGGGGGTTGTCAGTAGCTCATACCAGTACGATTACGAGAACGGCGATTCGAGACTTCCTCTGCAGCGTCAGTGCTTATCTGGCGCTCGCCAAGGCGAGATTGTCCAATATGATCGTCGAGGTTACGTCACATCTGGTTCCGCCATGAGAGGCGATAACCGAGTCACTTGGAAGTTGTGGTACCGCAAGAATGCTAAGCACGAGGACGAGTTACTCTGGGCCGAATACACCTTCCCTCATATTACGGTGAAAGTGCTTTGGAGCATGCCTCCCCGCAATCCTCAGAAGCGTCTGGAAGAATGGATACCATTCTCTACCGTTACGGAGGCTACATTCATCCATGGTCACGATGTATACCACGCTTCTTGGGGTTTTGAACACAAACTTCATCCTGAGTTGTCGGTTACTCTCAACGGGAATCCTATACCGACTCCACCCATGATCAAGGATGATTGGTTTCAGGTCCTGCAGAAGCCCGAGAAATGCAGCTTCCAGAGTGAAAACCCGCTCCTCCCTTTCTCATCCATCAAGACCAACCCCGTATCCCGTCTTCTGAGATTCAACGTCAAGCGATACCCGATTCCTACCTCAGTTGCGCGTACTCAACTCTGGAAGGCATGGAAGGATGGCCGCGAAGTGGATGCCATTAGTGCCAGATGGTTAGATGAAAAGCTGCTCCGCTCTGACTACATCATGCGTCCCTACTGGAGAAAGCGTGACTTTGGCCGTCTGGAGGCCGCTAAGAAGTACCTGGATGCTTCTTCTGATACCATCATGGCCCGCTGTGATCTTGACTCTTCCATTAGTTCATGGGTGCACATTGCCTACAAAATTGCTGATCTCTATAGCTTTGGTCCTGGTGGTGATGCTCGGATTAACACACGCAAGTTGGAGTCTCAGCTCCACGATACTCCAGAGGAGCTCCATGTTCTTGCCATGGACACCTCGACCTGGCCTAATGACCCCGGTGGTGTCTCTGCCTGCCGACGGGACATGGTCAACGACCTGAAAACAATCAAATGGCACGTCCTCGCCGAGTCAGCCAATGACTATGGTGTTCCCCGGTTCCAAATTGAGCGAAATGTCCAGTCTCTTACTATACTGCCACTTTGGGGTTTGGATTTCCTGAATCCCACACACGGTGTCCTGGAGACAAATCTCGATTCAGCAGTCGTTCAGCGATCACAAATGACACGCACTGCAGACATCACACACAACTTCCTGCCCATTCTCAGCAGCCTCGTCAAATGCTCGCGCATTACTGATTTGAACCGCCAGCACATCGAGGAGGCTACCAGGGCCTTGGTGGACCTCAACACCTACTTCGAGAAGACCCGTAATTGGAACGACGTTTGGCAGCACCCCGTTGTCAAGGAAAAGTGGCGCGAGCTATGGCTCACTGAAAGCCTGGAGGGCGCCTTCAACATCTCCCAGTGGTGGGATTTCGAGAAACCGAGCCTCAAGCAGCTCGATCTCGCGCTGGACTTGTGGTGCCGCTACCTTTTCATCTTCTCCCTGCCCGTTCCAGAGGAGATCCCAGACGTATTCCAAGCGTCGCACCACTTCACGGGAGCTACGTACGGCATCGTCTGCAAGGCCAAGCGCAACTGCACCCTGCACATCTGGGATCACTGTATTAGTTACAGAGAATTCACTACTTTTATGAGCTCGGCGGTTTCATACGATGCGCCGTTTGTCAACAGCTCTCTCATTTCTCTAACACACCTCAGTTGCGTCCTGCTTGAACACCACGCTGATGTCGTTCTGCCCTGCTGTGACTACTTCAACCCCGGATGGGAGGTGGAGCTTGGCACCGCCGAGGGTGTTGTTGAGCATCGCCGGACCTTTGAGCGCAAGATTGACCCCGTCGTCAATGGCATCTGTAACATGGAAAAGTTTGAGCCCATCAAGACCATCAAGACCGACCAACCTACAGTGGTCATGTTGTCACATGTTCAGTACGCCAAAGACATCAAGAACGCCATTATGGCGACGGATATTATTGTCAACAAATGGGGTATCAAGGACTATCGTCTCCACGTGTACGGCGACCAGGAGCGTGCCGCAACCATCGCGACCGAGTGTCAAGAGCTCATCGCCTCCAAGAACCTTCAGGACTACTGCATCCTCAAGGGCCTGGGCAACCCGTCAGTGGTCCTTCAAGACGCCTGGCTGTTCCTCAACTCGTCCATCTCCGAGGGCCTGCCTCTGGCCATGGGCGAAGCTGCGCTGACGGGTGTGCCCGTGGTGTGCACCGACGTGGGAGCCTCGTATTGTGTGGTGACGGACCGTGCAACAGGCGACCGATTCAGTGAGGTGGTGCCGCCAAACGACTCGGAGTCGCTAGCCCGCGCGCAGATCAGTGTGATGGGGCTTCTCGGCCGGTGGGCAGAGTACGCCGACGACGCGCCCGGCTCCGAGGTGCCGGTGCTGGGATACCCGATGCCGACGCCGGAGCAGGTCGAGCAGATCTCGAAGCGCATCTACGCCAAGACGGAGCAGCGGCGTGCACTGGGCATGCGCGGCCGCCAGAATGTGCTCAACAACTTCTCGTCGGAGCGATATCTGCGAGAGCACGAGCAGATGCTGTGGGTCGGCAAGTATCGCAGCCAGGCGCACCGCTCCAGGGTGGCCATCACGGGATCCAGCACGCCGTACTCGCAGCAGCCGTCTTCCCACTGGGTCTCTCGCCTCACACCCGAGTCGTGGATCTCGCTGTCTACGGAGAATCTGGCACGTCCTGGGTGGCGCTCTCTCTCTTCGAGCACCCTTAGCGTGCATAAATTGTTTGCCCAAAAGGAGAAGCAAATTGTCTGATGAGATTGCCTTGGGCGATTTGTACAAGGATTCATGGGCCTATCAAATATCACATGTTGAGGGTCAAGTAACGAGTCATGAAATATCGTTGGTTGAGCTTAACGTCAACTCGGCCAACCTAGCAACTAAAAAGTATTGCCCGTCTGGATTTGACCGATGGGAAATAATCGCTTTCCTTAATACCGTATATGCTCTTGTATATTTTAGGATGGGATGTTTATAAACACTATATAGACTATTATTATTGATAATTACAGACCATGGCTTTAATAGATTTAGATTTAAACGTATTGATTCCTACAGTGGCACTTTTCCGTCTACTGCTCGTCCTGTTCAACTGGTTGTTGCATCATAGGCAGGTTCAATCTAGAGGACGGCAGTTGGCAAGACTCGTTGGCGCGTGTACAGTGTGAAATTGCCAGTTTGGAAGGAGTGGAATATCACCAGAAGATCTTCATTTCAAGCCTAAGGAGTAATATAAGGGTTTGTATAGCTATCGGTGAACCTAATACCCTTGTTGCATGTCCCGCTACAGCTTGCCCCTGACGCACCCCAGTCGGTGTCGGCATCAAAGAGCCATCCGAGTCCACATCGAGAGGCACGCTGGGCAGACTCCGTTGTTCAACTCGTGCGCGAGAATGTAATATCCAGGATAGCCTGAGAGAAGAGTTGCAGCCCAGCGTGGTGCGCCAAGAGCAGAAATCACCGTCGAGACGGCGTTGGAATATGCCTCTGCATCACACGGCTACATACAGACTCCAGAGCCACGGTGGAGAAGACGGCCTGCCCTTTAAAAATCTGCACAGGAAAACATACGCCTCCACAAGGTCTGGTCAATCCACCTGCGGCGCGCCCCAGTAGTAGGTGAGGATGTCGACGCCCGAGTAGACGTCCTTGTACACGCCGGCCTTCTCGCCGTCCCCCGCGGCGCCGGCACACACGAGCAGCGGCATGAAGTGCTCCCCCGCGCGCGGCGGGTGCATCTGATTCGCGTGCGGCAGGGTGCGCCAGGCGCGGAGCGCGGCCCAGCGGTCGTCGGTGGCCTCGGCGGTGGCGGCGGCGGTCAGGGCGGCGTTCCACTCGTCGGAGAGGGCCTTGAAGTCGCGCACAAAGGCGCGGCCGGCGAAGCGCAGGCCGCGCATGGCGGCGAAGTTGTGCAGCGAGGCGAAGCCCGAGCCGATGATGGCGATGTTGCGGTGGCGCAGGCGGGCCAGGGCGGCGCCGATGCGCAGGTGGTGCTCCGGGTCCTCGGACTCGAGGACGGAGACCTGGACGATGGGCACGTCGGCGGCCGGGTTGACGAGCAGCATGGGGATGAAGACGCCGTGGTCCCAGCCGCGGTTGGGGTCCAGGCGGGCGCGCAGGCCGTGGGCGTCGAGGAGCGACTTGATCTCGCGGGCGACGGGGGGGTCGCCCGGCGCCGGGTACTTGAGGGCGTAGGACTCGGACGGGAAGCCCGAGTAGTCGTAGTACAGGTCGTGGCGGGCGGCGGAGGAGACGGTCGGCACCGCCGTGGACCAGTGCGCCGTGACGAGGACAATGGCCCGCGGGGCCGACGGCGTGCCCAGGCCGAGGATCTTGGGCACGCAGTTCTTGAGGGAGTAGACGATGGACTCGTGGTTCTTGTCGCCCAGGATGGGGAGGGGGCCTGTGTGTGGTGTTTCAGCTGCTGCGGCCGTGTCTGGGGCGGCGTGAGGGTGCCTGTTTACCTCCCCCGTGCGAGAGCGCAATGACGGGCGCGACGGGCATTGTGGTGGCAGTCAGTCTGCTCGCGGAGTGGAGAGACGCCTTCATGGAGTCGGTTGATGGGACGGGGCGGCGAGAGAAACGGGCTCGTCGTTCTGGCCGTCGTCAAGTTTATGTACCCGCCCGGCCGCCCTCGGAATCATGCCACGGTTCCGAGCTATCAATCGATGTCGGCTCGGGACCCTGTGGCGCAAGGCATTTCGCCCATCATGGATCATGGATGGCATTCAAGCTTCTGGTCACATCATCTGCCGCGCGGGGAGGTCCACCACGTCGCGCCTGTTTATTTGTCAGCGCCGCCATGTCGCCAGACCACCACGTGGGAATCGACGGGCGGGTTCATCGCCGTGGTCCCCTCTGCGGCCATGAGGTGTGCCAAAGACGGCCTGGACATTGTTGACGAATCGACTACGGCTATACAAACACCGAGACCCTGCCGTTGCCGGCCGCCACCGCTCGAATCCTCGACCCAATCTCCAACGGACTGCCCTCGCTAATCATAAAGTGGCCCTTGTCCTCGTCCTCGTCCACCCTGACGCCCAGGATCTTGTAGATATTCCGGCTCACCAGGTCCAGCGCCGACTTCTCCGTAAACCTCCCGTTGCCGTTTCTATATGCGGTGCCTGCTTCAAAGCCCAGGTCACGCACGTACCAGTCCTCCGGCAAGCCCACGGCGACCGTGACGCCGGCCGTCACGAGCCAATCCGCCGCCGTTCCATTGGTAAGCGGCGCGCCGGAGAGCGCGCGTCTCTGGTCCCACGTCTGGGGCATGGGCTGCAGAGGCTGGAGGATGACGCCGACAGACGCCGCGGCCAGTTCTGCGGCCACGAGATAGGACTCTGCGCCGCCCATGACGGCCATGTTGATCTTGGACTTGAGCGCCCCCTCGACCTCGGACTTGATGCGGAGAGCAGAGGCAATTCCGTCGGCAGAGTTGATGGTCAGCGCGAGAACGAGGTTGCCGGAAACGACCCTCTTCAGGTACGCCGCCTCGGAGTATGCCTCGGGCTCCTCGTCAGACTTGCCCGCGTCCAGGAGCTTCTTGCGCAGCGCGCCAAAGGCTTCGCTGTAGCTCTTGCCGTCCGTGCGGGCATTCAGGTCCAGGGTGTAGTGAACGGCGGCGTCCTCTGCAAACACGGCGCCCTTTTCGAGGCTTGTGAGCGCAGAAGTCGTAAAGCCGACGCTGGTGCCGTGGTGCGTCTTCAGACCGTTAAACTTGGGTGCGGAAATGGCCCGGGTCACGCCATATCTTGCGCCGACACGAAGCTTCTTGTTATCAAGCTGGAGGCCGTCGACGGCACGGGTGAACTTTTCTTTGGTGTCGCCGTTGTCTGTCGAGTCTTCGGCATCGATGGCGTTGAGCCCAATGGTGCCGCCGACGCCGGTGAAGGAGTGAGTGAGGTAGCCGTTGTTGAGCTGGACAACCTTTACGCCGGCAGCGGTGGCGGCTTCGAATTCAGACGTGCAAGTCCCGATGCAGGTGATCTTTCCCTCGGATACGGCGACATTGGATGCTTCGCCGCCGGTATTATACGCGTCGTCGCCGGAGAGGAGAACCTTGGTGACCCCTTTGAACAGAGCATCAGCGACCTGCGTCGGCTCAGACACAATGTCGGCGAGAGTGGCATCAGGGCCAATGGGGCCTTGGATCGGCTTGTCTAGGTACACAGGCGCCGTAAACTGGGCGGTACCATCAATCCAAACTTGCACGGGCGTGGCTCCGACGCTGAGAGGGTCGCTGTCCCAGACCACGACGTCGGCATCGTATCCAGGCTTGACTTTGCCCAAGCGCTGGCCCATGCCCAATTCATCCGCCGGGGCAGTTGTGACACTGGCGAGAGCAGCGTGATACGGCAACCCGTAGTGGTAGGCCTTGGCGGCTTCAAAGAGGACGTGCTGCGCATTGAGAACGGGATTGTCGCTCACGTACACGGGTGTCAGTCCCTCTTGGTACAAGATCTTGCCGGCAAACTCGGAGCCAACATATGCCTCCATCTTGTAGTACATGTTGTCGGCGAAGAGGGCCGAAGCAGGCGGTCGGCCACCCCAGGTGCGCTTCAAGATCTGCTCAACCCATTAGTACTTTTTTCTCTTCATCGTTGGCGCCAACAGGCATTTGTCCACAATCCTGGGCCGCGGTACATGAGGTTGAGCAAATCATCATTGTCTTGGATTTTGATTAAAAAAAACAGAGCGGGTGTAGGTACTTGCCTCGGGAACAAGAAAAGTCTGGTGAGCATGGTGAAAGGTCCGCACAGCAAATTTGAACTCATTGGTATGGTCGACCATGGCTTCCAAATCGGGCACAGTATAGCAATGAGTGTTGATGTGAACTTGGCCGCGCATCGCAGCGCCCAGAGACTCCCACGCAAGCTCTTCCGGGAGATAGCTATCCATGTTGTCAACGCCCACAGCGTCTGCCTTGTCGCACCAGTCATCCTGCCTTTGGACCAAGTCGCGCGCCTTCTCAAATGCGCGGCGGAACTCGAAGCTTTCGCCCAAGCGGCTTGTCATGCGGCCACCGGAGGAGAATGACTGCTTCGGATTCTCACCACATGCCATCTTCATGTAACGCCAGTGACGCTCAGGGTCGGCCAGCATGTCTGCCGCACTGAACTCGTTGCGGCCCTCCTTTTTGCCAACGGCATGTTTGATCAAATAAGCCTCGCCACCAATATTGTTGCTCGATCCCGGCAAGATGAGCGAAGTGGTCACACCCCCGGATTTGATCACCTCGATCTGGGGGTCAAAGACGTAGAGCCCGTCGATGGCACGGGTCCAGGGCGTAACGGGGCTGGAGAACTCATTGCCATCAGAGTTGCCGCGCAGCCCAGGCATGGAGTAGACGCCCGCATGGCTGTGCATGTCAATGATGCCACTTGTGAGTAGTCGACCCTCTGCATTGTAAAACTGAGTATCCCGAGGCAGCGAGCCCAGCGAGATATGCCGCTCGACCTTTTTGATGAGGCCGTACTCCAAGTAGACGTCACCCTTGGTCCACCCCCAGCCCTTACCCGCCCGGGCATCCTCGTTGCTGGTGCCCTCGACAGGCTCGCCGATCCAAATAGTAGCATTCTGGATGAGCGTGGGCTTGCCGCCGTCGACGAACCTTGCGCTCTTGTCGCGACCCGAGCCTATGGGGTCCCGCGGCTTGTGCCGCAGCGTCTTGCACGTGGCCAGATTCTCGTTCAGCTTTTCGGCAGAGAGCTTGACGGAATGGCGGTTGGAGCGCCGGATCTGCTTCCACTGCGCCAGGACAAGGAGCGACAAGCATGCGAGAGCGAAAAACTTGATGGCTCTGCTGCGACGAAGGCCGCGTCGGCGCCGAGCCCGGCAGCCATTGTTGCCAAGAGGAAGGTGCGACTCGGCCGAGGCCTGCGGGGGCGAGTACGGCGCGTAGGGAGGAAGGCGACTTTTTTCGTCCATCGCTATGTCAGCTTTGGTGTCTAAAGCCGGGATGCGAATATGAAATAGTAAAGGCTCGATGAATGAGGCCGTTGCTCATGTCAATGACGTGAGACGACGCGACAACCGTCTGGTGTTTTGGCACACAGAGGCATGGATGGCCCCACAGGAGCTTCCGAGCCGTCGAGCTGGCCAGGCAACTTTGAGCGGGCGAGAGGCACTAACAGCAACGGGGTGCTGTACCCGGCGTCTTGTTGCCCAACATTCCGCTTCAACTGGTAGGCGGCCTACCCTATAGAGTGTCGGTCCTTGGCAGAAACAGTCAATCCATCATGACGGAGCAGCCCGACGGCAGCCTCACATCTCCAAGCGGCTGGACGACGCACGCCCGATGCTTGCGACCGATGGCCCGAAGGACCCTGCTTGACGTTGACAGGTTCCGTCTGTAGCCGAATACGCGCATATCGGACTACTAATTGTTATACTATTTCGTGCAGCTGCGCCTGCCGTGTGGAGCATCGCCGTGAGGCCAAGTGTGCTGTGGAGGGCGACGTGCATCAAGACATGGCGTGTTCCTGCCGCCTTGCGAGATTTACATTGACTCTTGCCATGAAGACGGCTTCTTAGACCTGACCAACCCGTTGCTCGGCTCTCTTGAAAGGTATAAAAGGGACGAGATTTCCAGCCCAGCTAACATATCTGCCTCAAAGTAATCATTCCTCAATTCCACTCACAATCGTCAACAAACATCATCCCAAAATGCGAGCCACCGCTTTCCTCGTTACCGTCTTTGCCGGCTTGTGCCTGGCCCATCCGCTTGCAGACGCGCCTGGCAATGAGTGTCCTCCAATGGTTGTAAGTACCACCGCCCTTTGGGTGCTTTTTGAAAACCGTGTCAGGCGTTGTGGTTAACATGTGCATGACAACGAAGGCCTGTTCGCGAGTTATGGGCTGCACATATTGGGATGATGATGGCTGTCTTTACTGCAAGTCGACATGCCAAGTTGGGTCAAGTTGATGCGACGATTCGCAGCTCCAATGCCAGGTGGTAAAATAGCTGCCTGTACGCCAGACCATGTGATCTGCTGGGGATTATGGGGAGACACGGAACTTGTATATTGCTATTCTTTACCAATGGGACAAACAAGTACCTGAGAATATATATCTTGGCAATCTGGTGTTGGATGTGTGAATGCCGAGGCACGTGTGATGTCCCTAGCGGATCGCGACAAGTACAAAAATGCTCCGAGAATGATGGAATAAATTTGTAACGGCACGAGAAGAGTATGTCTATGGAGACGATGCAGTTCCCAGCGTTTTCCTAAGACTGCACACATGCTGGCTCGAACGGAGTGGGATGCAACCGTGAGTGGTACTTTAATCGCAGCGGCTGCTATTAGACACTAGTGAATGAGGAGATGTATGATGCAACAAAGGTGTTAAATTGGAAAAAATACAAGTAGAATTAATGGGATGCGGTGTTATGGTTGCAGGGGTGGCAAAAATGAACCGCCCCCCAGATCATAAACAATTCGCCATCAATTAATCAGGTCCACGCTCCATTATTTTTCCTTCGGTACGTTGCTGCTATTTTGGGAACTGACATCTGCCAATTACCTCCGGACGGGGTAGTTGACCATGGATTGGAATTCTTTGGGAGGTGGGCGAAAAAAAGAAAGAATGAGGGACACCGGATTTGAACCGGTAACCTTCGGGAGGTTCAAATTGAAGCTGAACTGGAATCCGACGCGCTACCGTTGCGCCAGCCCCCCATTGGTGATTGAAAGGATGTTATTGACCCATATATAGCAGGCGTGTGGACTTGGCGCATTCTGGATGTTGAAGAGCCCAGACTCCACCGACAAATTTTCGCATACTACATTGACTCTTGGGTTCGTTGTGAAGAGAACGACCGCTACGTCTTGGCAGCCAATAATGTCCCAATGAGTTCATTGCAGGTGGCAAAATGATTCTAGCGATTGAACCTGAAGTTCTTCAGAGATAGCGAGTATCTACTGCCGCGCAGGCTTTCTCCCGCGGGTTCCCTGAACTTTGGCAGTATTCCTTCCTTGGGTCATTTCACAATTCAGAACAAACAGTCAGCTCGTGAAGCTTCGTCGAAGAAGCCTTGGGCCAGAAGATTCCCTCCCCGTTGCATAAGTCGAAGTATTCTCCCCAGATGCCAATTCTAATGTTATAAGTCAAAAAACCAATACCCGCGGCTACTGTGTCTTGCAACCTGCGCCGGTGACTTGTGCTCGCCGTGTCTCATAGATATAGTATGCATATGCAGTTCCGTCAATGCCAGTGTTCAGAGCAGCGGAAGCACGTACACTTGTCGTATAGTATTCTTTGCCTTGAGAAATTCCGGATCAGTGTGTAGATGCTGAATCTCTCGCAGAAGACAATCAGATCAGGGGCAGTACACTTGGGGTTTACGCCTGGCCGTGCCACGCGTCCCACTGACAGTCGAGAACTTCAGATGTTGTTTTCAAAATCTGCTGCTTCTTGTGCCAGGTATCTCGAAGGGGCTATTAGACCTTCAATGGACAATGTGCCAGATCGCTCTTTCAACTTCGTGCCATCCCCGAGAAGCAACAGAGAGGATAGCGGAAGTCACCACCCGGCGAAATGTGTGCAAAGGCGCAAGCCACGAGATGTCGATTATTTGCCGTTGGGGTTTGAATTCAACTATGAGTCATTTTAATAGCTCCGCCGCCGTGACACGCTTATCAGGTACCCAATAAAGCATTTCCCTTATAAATTCGAGGAATATTTCGGCATGACCATCTTTGCGTATACACCCTGACAGCTCTTGGTCTAGTTTTCACGTCCTGGGTATCAAATCAACGTGCACAGAGGCTAATTCGCCAAGTCAACAACGATTGTCACACCGTCCAGATTGCATTCACCATATTTGGCCAAAAACGGCCCACGCTAAAATTCCGCAACTTGTTATCACAGAGTTTTGCGTGGGGATTCAGGGCTGCCGGTGATCATGCCGGTGTCGCATTCGTCTCTCACGCTCGATAAGTGAAGAAGTTTGTCCCCAATCAGAGCGGTCATATCCACTAGGTGTTGAGCTGGCGAGTATGATTGGGTTCTTGGCTGGTAAAAGAGAGACTGGCCCGTCAATAGCTGCCAGATCTAACAACGTCAGCAAAGCCAAATAGACTTGACGCTGTGGACGGTAAGACGTATCATGGCACCAATACTCCACGTGTCAGCGCTATAAGACCAGCCAATACCGAGGAGAACCTCCGGGGCGCGGTATTCGCTGGGCTGTATAAGGTGAATTAGCGGTTCGCCCCCATCCCTAGGCTGCGCAAGTCCAAAATCTGTAATTTGTGATATCATATTGCCAAGTCCGTGGAGGACTGGCCCGGTGTCATTGCGGCAGCGGTGCATCATGCGATCCCCGATTTATTTACGGGCCATGTGATGATTAGCTTGGCCGAAGAGGAAGGTATCAATAGTTGCCTGATCTTCAAGAGCGACCATAATGTTATCAAGGTTCAAATCTAAACACAGGTCCATTCTAGACTGGTGTTTTCAGAGACGGAGCATACCTGTATGAATAATGTGGGCATGAGTGTGCATGTAATCCGGGCCCGCTGGTAGGATTCGAATATGGGCTTTAAAAATGGCAGCGACTCGTAGGTTGCGGAGGTCTGATGTGTGACCCATCGTCTAAAAGCTACAGAAGCTCTCTTAAAGGCTTGAATACCAGCATAAGATGCTTATCTCCCCGGGATGACTCAACTTCATAGTCCGCAATAGCTGTCGCCAGGACGGCGCGTCCCCGGTGACCAAGGCTTGCCGAGAAAAGACGAATATTCAAATCTAATTCGTGTATCATGTGGTCTTTTAGCGTATTGCAATTTTAAATTTTGATGGAGACGTATTTTCTGGGCCGCGGCAAAGCGCCTCTGGGAAGTGGTTAGCATATGGAGGCAGTAATAACGCGTTAGATAGCATACTATGAGTCTTGAAAGAGGGATTAGCCAATATGTACACCTCCGCTTAATATCGTGTGCCAGCCAAATTGTTGACAAAAGGGGCCGGCACCGGGGGCCGGCCGTTGTTGACGCGAAATACTCCCAGGGCATGCTTAATTCGCAACGGTGGATGCGAAGTTGAGGACGCGGAAGATGAAAAACAGGAGGAAGAGAAGGAAGCGGAGTTGAACGATTTCGCATGGGCGTTGGTAACACGACGGGCCGTGGTGAGCTGCCAATCGTTGGCCATTGTTTGCTACCCTGGCGGGTATGCTGTGAATTTGAAATTGTGATTTTGGTTTCGAGCACCAGTCGTGAGTACTATTGACTCTCGTGTTCTGACAGTCACGTGTGTGGAATGTTTGGGGTCATTGAAGAAGTGACATAGAAGTGAAGAACAGCCAGATTCCGCCATATTACTTTTTAGTCCCGAGTTATTACCGAATAGAGATTTGGAATTGCTTAAAAGCGCCGGCGGCGTATGAGCTGCGTGTGCTGTCAAAAGGATGCCTTTATTAATGAGCTAGCCGCGTCTTTGCTGTTGGCGACAAAGAAGATCACGTCACAGAACCCTAACCCTAAGCACACTCTGGCCGTCCTTGCCGCAGGCCATCCGATGCTCCCCGGCTCGTGAGGATTGATCTCGATTCCAGCGGGGGCGTGGCTTCGTGGACGGAAATCATGGATCCATAGAGAACCGTGAAAGTTGCCATCTAGAAAACCACACCAATGTCACCCCGCAGCTGGCTCCTTGTGCAAGCCTCAAGGGATCATTTTATCCCCTCGGCTGTAGCCCCGCAATTCCCCGCACCATCCATCACGATGCTGGACTCTGGTGCTGCTTGATTCTCCAATGTTCATCTCATTGCTTTCATCGTCAACCGCCCATCAGAACTTGCGTGCCCTTCACCCGCTCACTCGAAAACCACAATGTCCGAACCCGACACCAAGCGCGTCAAGACCGCCAACGAAGCTCCCTATGAGCTCATCTACTGGCCCGGCATTCCGGGGCGTGGCGAGTTTGTCCGCCTTTTATTTGAGGAAGCTGGGGTTTCGTACACTGATACCGCCAAATCGGGCGGAGATGCTGTCCCGACGGTTCTCAAGCTCATGGCTGCTGACAACAAAGGTGATGACATGAACCCTCCATCATTTGCTTGCCCAGCCCTCAAACACGGCGACCTGCGTCTCTCCCAAACACCAAACATTCTCCTCTATCTCGGACCCAAGCTGGGCCTGGCTCCCACCGAAGGTAATGGCATCTACCACATCAATCAAATAGCTTTGACAATCTTGGACTGTTTCTCCAATGAGGTCCATGACACACACCACCCTGTCGCTTCGTCGGATTACTACGAGGCCCAGAAGCCCGAAGCCAAGAGGCGAGCCAAGTCGTTTATTGACGAGCGGCTTCCCAAGTTCCTTGCATATATTCAGCGCGTGCTGGATGGAAAGGCGAGCGGAGACGGCCCGTGGTTGTACGGCGGGAAGCTGACATATGCCGATTTGGTGCTTTTCCAGGTTTGTTCCCATTCGTAGCGAAAGGCGGCTTAGAATGAGAGACTGATATAAAACAACAGGGTATTGATGGAACGGAATTCGCCTTCCCCAAGACGATGAAGAAGATGAGAGATTCCGGAAAATACGGCGGCGTGTTCAAGCTCTACGAGGCTGTCAAGGAACGACCCAATATCAAGGAATATCTTGCCAGTGATCGCCGCTCCCAGTATTCTGACGGTATTTGGAGGCATTACCCCGAACTGGAGGAGGACTAGCCGCCTATTGTTGCAGGATGGTGCACACGAGTCCACATGCAAGTCTCTAGACTAGTTGAAAGAATACTTCGAGACCCGACCGGACGTGCTGTCTTCCCCTTTGGCCATGGTTTGAGAACGGCTCACTGTTCCGCTGGTTCTTTGCATTGTGAATCATGAGGGCGACAACATCCCTGCCTTCGCCGCCACCCAACACATGGCCAATTTGCCGACAGCCAAGCGTTTGATATGGAGGGAGACCAACCCGATACACATCAAATAAAGTCCTGTCGTTGGCCGTGTTAATAAAAATTGACACTTGAGATCCATGACTCAACTGTGACATCTACCATTTCCGACAGACCAATTTTCAGGCACGTGTCGCCCATTCATGAAATGAGCTTCCTCACTCGCAAGCCACGGCGCAGTGCAGCGCCAGCTGACAGATGATGCCAGTCTTGCGGGTGAAGAGGCCTGCAAGCGAGATAGCCTAGCTGGTCCATCTATCGGAGCTGTGCCCGGGCAGGCGAGTTGCGGCCAAGGCTACACTGGAGCAGAAATAACATTGAATGGAGGACATTTGAAGGCTTGGGTGCAAAAGTTTGTGACCGTTGACGTTGCCAGTCTAATCCTGTTTTGGAAAGCGCAGCCCCGCCACGTCTGTCAACTAGGCGTCATCAATAAACGCCAACTAGCGTGACGTCAAAGACGAAGCATCCTCCAACATTGAGCATTGAACACTGGGCCTCTTTAAATGGGCTCATCGCCGCATCGACAAGTCCAGCCTGGCCTAGCCACGCTTGTCGAAGCAGCATTTTAAGACATCTGGGGCATGATTTAGTTCGACTGTAACTTCTTGCGTTGTAGCGTTGTCAACTTGTCAATATCTCAACAATCTCGCTCCTACCGAGCAAGGCTCCCAGGCGCAGGTAGTCACCATGGATTGCTTTGGATTATGCGGCTCAAAGGATGACGACGATGAGCGACAACCACTGCTGCCTCAATACAATCAAGACACGACGCGGCAAGATCGTCTGCATGAGAAGCTCCACACGTACCAAATGCTTCGAGCCATGTCGAATGGCTACATGCCCTCGAATAAACAAGTCATCATCCACCTGCGAACCCTGTTATGCGCAACAATTCTGAATCCTTCGGAGCAGAGCACCCTCAGCAACTCGGGCCGCGCACTCATACGAACAACGCGACTATGGCTGCAGCAGTTCATGGATCTGCTCGAGCAAAAAAACGCGAAGGATCAAATCCAGGATTTCATCTGGTACTTGTCCAAGGCGAGGTTGGATGTGGATGTGGCAAATGTGAGGAAAAACATGTCCAAAAGCAAAGCCCGGGCGGATGTTTCTGCCACAGTCGAGAGCCTGCGCACCGTTGTGTCCCTGGCCATGTTGAACAGCGACTTTCGAGTATTTGTTGCCGACGCGGCTACTATTGCAAGACAGGTCCTCCGGGACACCGCCCTCGCGTTGGGAGACGTGTCGAAAGAGGTTGGCGACAAGCTTGACTCTCCAGGTGAGGACATGGAGGCTCTGAAGAAGACGGATCAAGACGCGCAGGAGCCTCCATCGTCGGAATATGTCAAGGACCAAGCAAAGGATGTTGGTGAAACTGCCTACAAGGAAGCTGCTCACGTCGGAGAGGAAGCTTATACAAGCTTTTCCGAGCATATGAATGCGGAAGCAAAAGACATCCTGGTGAACCGCCTCCGGAACGCCGTCACGAACCTACGGAAGAGGACTGACTACTCCGAGTCTGTGTCAACTTTGTCTGGGATTTTGCAGAAATATCTCAAGATATACCTGTCCGTGGGATCGGATGCTGTCGATACGCTAGAAGGCAATCTTCACAATAATACCCAAGTTGAGAATGCAGTCCACAACTTTTGGCTGTTTCTTTCTTCGTTTGGGGATGGCGAAAGCTGGGAAAAGGCCAGAGCATCATTTTCGGACTTTGCTGAGCACAACAGAACGGATGAAAACTTGGACGAATTTGTGAGCCAGTTTGTCAACCTGATTCAAGGAATGCTCTCAAAGCCCGAATTTTTCGACAACATGGACGAAAGACTTGATGAATTACGTGAGCGACTCAAGGAGCTCACGTCCGGGTCGTCAATGGGCGAGGATGCTAGCAATTTGCTCCGAAGCATCCAGCAGGCCCTTCAATCCACGGCCGAGGACAAGGACGTAAAAAACATGACCTCGGCCTCGCTGCGCCTAGTCCACATTTTGTTCCCGCCGGGGGAGATGGGAAACACGGACCTAGTCCGAGATTGCGTCAACACATTCATACCGTTGCTTGTTCAGGCGGTGCAGTACATTCCAATTCCGCGGCTGGAAGTCTCAACACCAGCAATGGACTTGCTAATGGAAAATCTCATCCTGGAGCCGGGACAGACGGTCAACAGCAGCTCCTTCCTGCCATACAACTTGCAGTTCTCAAGCCGCAACGACATTGACATTACCAAATCTCCATTTGGAACCAGTTCCTCGGTGGCGTCCCTCGTCACCATTAAACTGGCCGGCATGTCCATTGCAGCCGATGACCTCGGATACTGGCTCCGGCTGCATTCGGGCCTCCTTCGTTTCGTCGACGAAGGCTTGACCAGCTTCCACCTCGACCATCGCGGCATAGACGTCACCCTGGACGTGGAGATTGGCCGGGAACGACTAGAAGAGCTTGTCACCCTGCGCAGCGTGCACGTCAAGGTCCATCACCTGGATTACTCCCTCCGCAAGTCCAAGTTCTCTTGTATCGCGTGGCTCCTCAAGCCGTTTATCCGGCCGCTCCTGCGGAAAGTACTCGAGAAGCAGATATCCTCGGCGATTGACGAGGGGCTGAGAACACTGAACCGGGAGCTGGTGTTTGCGCGGGAAAGGCTTCGCGCAACTCGCGTGTGCAACCCCGGCGATCTCTGGACCTTTATTCGCGCAGTGGCTGCTCGTCTGGTGCCGCCGCCTGATCCCGACATTCACACGCGAGTCGGCGTCGAGCCTGGGAAGGGCGTCTTTCGGGGGCGGTACGCGCCGGGGAGCCTGGTCAAGGTGTGGGAGGAGGAGGCCCGCGACGCGGAGCAGAATATTTTTGAGTACCGCCAGGATGGCTGGCGTAATGGTATATTTGATGTGCAGACCACGCCGGCGCCGTAACGAAACAAGACGGATGGGCCGCTTGCAATGGGTATGAAATGCGGCAGCGCCAGAAAAGCTTTCTTTGAAGACGAATATGTAGGATCCTGTCTGCAGCAGTATGTCCAAAAATAGGCAATATATGCTGCAGATATTACATGTACCGTGCGGAGTAAAGTAGGGGGAATGCCTCTGTCCAATGATAATAATACTCGAGCATCGTCGTATGGCCCTCTGCCTGTCGCTTTCGTTGCGATTGGTGTAGCACTTGGCCGCAACGGCAACGCGTAAAACCCAGGCTGAAGGACCAGTGCCAGTCAAGATGGCCCCTTGAACCGGTCAGGCATATCGGATCATGCGACATTACGCATATTACACGACTCAAAGACTGCCATGTCGTGAAGCGGAATCTGAGCGGCTGCCAAAGTCGATCCGTCGGGCAGCGCATCCTCCCGCAGAGGGCGGCGCAAAGGATAGTTGCGTGTCGGACGTCTGTTGCGGTTCTATTCGATGCGTAAGTAAGACTCGACACCATGACTTCACCATCTGGTGGGATATGGCGTCGAGGGCCTGAAGATGGGCATCGCGGATAGGGCCATTGGGTCGACTGACAAAGGATTGGCGGAAGTGCCAATGTGTTGAGGCAGAGCTGAACAGTCCTGCCCGGCTGAACAAGTCAATATGCGGTGTGATTGATATCGCGGCACTCTGCCTTGTCGCCGTGAGACAACTTGCAAGGGTCTGCGGCTTGGCTTCTTGAGATGCCACACGCTTGTCATATGTTGGCGATGCCCTGCCCGTTTAGGCTCAAACAGACCAGACTTGACTCTCTGAGAAGACGACTGTCAGAAGGTTTATCCAGTCACCAGTGTGGCGGAATACTTGTTCCTCTCACAAGGACGGAGTACAGATGTACTCGACATTTATAGCCTGTCGTCTCTCAAGTATTCATGGGAAGGGAACTCAGCTGGGCGAAACTGTCGAGATGCCTGCCGGGAGTTGATTTCCGCTCCCTTGCCATGTGCCATTGAACATATAAGCTTCCTAGTGGTCGCGCCGCATCGTAGGGTAACACTGCATTTATATTTATGCCATGACTGTCTCACAGCGCCAGCCACCGACCTCGCCGGCTTACCTTGCGCGCTACTTCCCCGCGCTTTCATCGGTCTGGTTCTATTTGAACAAGGAGACGGGGACTTTTGGAACGCGGCATCTTCAGCTCATGCCCGTGGAAAGTCCAAAACGGGAACCGCGGCCGCTATAGGAGCAGAAATAGCCCATGGGGGCGGGAGCTGTCCAGGTCACCGAGACGGGAATGTTTGCGACACGTCAAAATAACGCAAGCAAAGGTGGGCGACAGAGGACCCATTCATGAGGTGAGTTGTTTCACACGCAAAGCCGTCTATGCGCAGCTTTGTACCTTGACGTCTTTTGACAAGGCCCTCGTTGCGCGGTTCTCGCCAACTTACACGGGCAAAGGACACAACATCGATACCATGGACGGCAACCGCGACGACGCCTCCGGCATCAGCCGCTCGAAACGCAGCCTCGCGTCGGTAAATACGCCAGCGGGCAGCGGCAACGACGAGCTCGACAAGACAGCGCAGCCCGACGCGGCAGGCATCAAAGTCGGCCCTGAAGATGCGGCAAAGCAAGAGAGGGAGAATGCGGATCCGGAAAATATAAAGGCTATTGGCACCGTGGACGAGGCTGAAGGCGACTACGATGTCAGAAAAGAGAACCATTTTGGTGAAGCGGCGATTATCGACAACGCAAAGGACTTGGTTACGCACGTTCTCCACGTCGATGATGAACCGTCCGATTCTCCGTGGACTTTTCGTGCGCTCTTCATTGGTAACGTGTACCGTCTCTGTGCGCAAGGCGAATGGACGCACTGCTAATGACCGTTGCAACTCCAATCTAGGCCTGATCCTGTGTGTCTTTGCGTCGGTACTGCAGGAGATTTTCTACTTCAAGCCCCAGATCATACTCGTATCCGTCGTGTTTCTCACCGTCATCGGCTACATCTTGGCTCTCCCCTTCCAGCTCATCCCACGACCGAGCGGTGACGGCATCGTATCCCGCACGTGTCGCTTCCTGAACCCGGCCGACTTCAACTCCAAGGAGCACACGTTCATGGTCATCATGGGATCGGCCGGCTCGACCTCGGCCGTCGCCACGCAAATCCTCGCCGCCCAGCGCCTGTATTACGGATCGAGTCCCGACAAGGGCGCTGCCATCTTTCTCGTCATCGCCTCCCAGTTCCTGTCCTACGGAATCGCGGGCCTGCTCCGCTCGGTCCTGGTCCAGCCGGCCAAGATGCTCTGGCCGGTCAACATCCCCGTCAACACGCTCCTGGAGACGCTGCACCGGGACCGGAGCGAGACGCGGAAGCGCCTGCGATGCTTCACGGCCGTCTTTGGCGGCGCCTTCCTCTGGGAGATTGTCCCGCTCTGGATCGCGCCCATCTTCCAGGGCGTCGCGATCCCGTGCCTGGCGCGCCGCGACAGCCTCGTCTTCACCAATCTGTTTGGGGGCGCGCAGAACAACGAGGGCCTCGGGCTCCTGGGGCTCTGCTTCGACTGGAACTACATTGCCGGGCTGAGCTCGCCGCTGTGGTACCCGTTGTGCACGCTCGTCAATAGCATGACGGGGTACTTGCTCTGCATTGTGCTGTTCATGGGCGTTTACTACGGAAATGTGTGGGATTCCACCAACTTCCCCTTCCTGTCGCAGCTGCTCTACCACGGCTCGTCCAACGCGACCAACTTCGTGCAGTACAACCTCACTGCCATTCTCAACTCGGACAACACCATCAACAGCACTCTGGTGGCTGAGCAGGGGCTTCCGTACCTCTCGGGCTCATACGTGATCCGCCTCATCACGACCAATGTTGGCATCACCGCTGCCATTGTCCACTTGCTGCTGTGGAACTACAACGACCTCAAGGACGGCTGGGCGTTTTTGCGGCCGTCTCGTTTACAAAGGCTCTTCCGAGTCTCAACGTACTTCTCCTGGAGGGGGCATGACTCGGAGGAGGAAGCGGCGCGACGACAAAGGGTGGTTGACGACAAGGACTTGGATCCGCACTACAAGTTGATGATGCAAAACGGGTACGTCGAGGTGCCAAACTGGTGGTATGGCCTCGTGCTCGTGCTTTCGTTTGTCATTGGCATCACCACGCTCTACAAGATCGGCTCAACGCTGCCCTGGTGGGCATTCATCGTATCCAATCTTTTCTCGGCCCTCTTCATCCTCTTCTTCGGCGCCCAAATGGGCTTGACGGGGTTCCAATTCGACCAGCAACCCGTCATTTTGATGCTAGGCGGTTATCTGCTGCCGGGGAAGCCGCTCGCCAACATGTACTTCACCGTGTTCGGCTTCAACGGCATCCAGCAGGGCCAGTGGCTCCTGCGGGATCTGAAGCTCGCCCAGTTGGCCCATCTGCCGCCCAAGGCGACATTTACGGCTCAAATGCTCGGCACCGTCGTCGGGGCCATCATGGACTACGTCGTCATGGTCAGCATTGTAGATAACCAGACGCCGGCGCTGCTGTCCATCAACGGCACAAACGTCTGGTCCGGCCAGAACGTGCAGGCGTACAGCACCCTCGCGGTGGCGTGGTCCATGGCCAAGGACATGTTTTCGGTAGGGAGCCGCTATCAATGGGTCACACTCTCGTTCCTGGTCGGGTTTCTGGCACCGCTGCCGTTCTGGCTGGCGTGGAAGCTGACCGGGCGCGACGTGTTCCGCGACGTGGACACTTCCATTGTCGTCTGGAACTGTGCCCTGCTGTACGTCGGTGTCAACTCGTCTTTGCTCATGTACTTTTCTCTCGGCATCTTTGCGCAGTGGTACCTCCGTCGCTTCCACCCGGCTGCGTTCATCAAGTACAACTACCTGGTCTCGGCGGCCTTGGACGGCGGCACGCAGGTCATGGTTTTCCTGCTCAGCTTTGCCGTGCTGGGTGCCAGTGGTAGGGAACACAAATTTCCGACGTATGCGCTCAACAACGGGGGCACGAACAACGACGTGAACATTGACTACTGCATGTTCAACACTGCGTCGGCGAATTGACAACCGCGGCGGCTGGTGCCTTTCTTGCCAAGTTGTTCCCCGGGGGGAATGCCGTATCATGACGGCAATTGCAATATACGATTGCTGGCATGCGCCGGGTCACGAGAAACGAGGGCGAAGAATTGGACAGGGGAATAGTCTATTCGATGTAGAGTTTGAATTACGACTGGTGTCGTAGTCAAGATTCATCTGACCCAATGCCGCGTTGTATTAAATGTGTGAGCAATTCGGACGTGTAGCAAGATTTCCCATGTGCTTATAGCCCTGTCCTCTCTCGTCCCACGGTCTAACCCTAACCCGGCCTTTTCCGTATTTACAATTTCGGCGAGAGAAGAAGCACGTTGGCTGCGGCCACAGCAGTGAGCTTGACGAAGAAAAGGGGTAAAATCCAGCTGGCTTGTCGCGTTGGTATGGTAACATTCGGGTAGACGGCAGGAAAGCCGACTCACATCACCGTGGGCAGGACGACGGCCTCGGGGAACAAGGAAACTGGTTGAGGTACTTGGCAGGCTCCTTTTCTGTATGCAGCTGTTTGTTAAATGAACCACGGCTGATGGTACTCAAAGATGCCGTCATTTGGTTACGAAAGTGAAAATCACGCTCAAGTTTCAAAACCAAAACTCTTTCGAGGTGCAACAACACCAATGCCCCGGTCTCCATCGTGGACATTGTCAAGATCGCCAGCTCTCGGTTGGTAATAAAATGCTTTCGCATCTTCACGGCCGTCCCGTTATCATTAACCCATTTCTTTTTTTAACGACTCCTTACCGGGTCACTGGGATCCAAGACTAAGGGATCTGGTCATCGGACTGAGCTTTCGATAATATAACTCGCTGCGGCACTGTCGCTTTAGGGTAGCGACCTGCCTGACCAAATACTATGCAACATGGTAGAATAACAGAGTAATTGCCATGGATCTGGTCTCCTATCTTGCCAAGATTGCTGACCTATGGACGCTTTTACACTCTCAGCTGCTACGAGATCTAATTTCAAAGAAAAGTACGGCGAGGTGTCAACTTTTTGTTTCCATTTTAGCTTTTTGGTAGATGTCGCTGTCTCTTTTTCCGCCTTCAAATTCTCTAGACACACAGGCATGGAAGTGGTTCACGACGCTGTGAATTCTCGGCCACGTCGAATCGGGAAGGTATCCCTGAGTGAGTATAGTTGTTTTTAGACACTATAGTACCCTGTATGGATATGCCACATAGTATTCGAGCACCAAGCTCCAGTTATGCAGACGGTTGATGCGATAGAATTTCATTTCGCAACTGGTGTCGACATACGATCAGCTCCGGACACGGCTGCTCGCCGGCGGAGGGTCGGTTTTCCCTTGAACGACAAGACAGGACATTTCGTCCCTCGCCAACGCTTGTCAACCATTACGCAGAACCTCTGGTCAGCGCGGGACAAGTCGAGCATGCAGATGAGAGAAAACATGGCCGTCGTACAATCCACCCATGCAAGTTGGCAATGCCGGATATGGCCGCATCGAGTTCTTTGGAATCCAGCACCATGCGTCTGGGTACAGGCCCGGTTGACCGGTCAAAAACTTTCACTTTTATTCAATATGGCGTTGCGTGTGCAGGTTGATCTGCCGAGTGGCAGCTCTGCGCCTCTGTCTCTCGGCAGCCACCGTTATACCGGGTCTTTAGTTGCTTGCCCAGCTTCCTGCTGCCCGCATTGCAGCCTTGATCACAGGCCTAACTGCATGTAGACCGGGCCGTACCGTGAGGCGAGGCAAACCTGGCGGTGTACGGAGTATTGTTTCGTAACAAACCCTCGCCGAGTGCTTCTGGATGACTCCTTGGGTCGCTGGCGCCGCAGCCACCAAGCCACTCCCTCGAGAAAACAAAGGCCCCTGAACGAGAACGGACTTGACCAAGAGGTCTGGCTGAGAAGTGAGCCAGTGGTGGCCAGCAGGGCTCGCTCCAAGTTTGCCCCAGGTGGCTTGTAAGCCACCAAGCTCGGTGCCCTGTGACGCGCGCGAAGAGCGACGGGAGCTGGCTATCCGATTAGTATGTGAAACAAAAGAATGCCACTGTTCTGAATGATTGATGGAGAGCAATTTGGCACCGCATAACAGGTTTATGCGAGTTTGTCTACGCATGCCTCGTCCGCTTAACGAGTGGCGACAAGGAGCATGGCGAGGAGCCGGTTCCGAAAATGGCGCCATGAAAGGTTGCCCTGCCGATCAAGGCACACGGGCTTGGCTGAACGAGGCGCGTTGCCAATCTAACTGGCGTTCAATGATACTCGGCAGTCACGCGGGTACTATTAAGGACGGGTAAGGGCATATCAGGATCTGCTCCGTGCGGTGGCATAGGTGGATCAGATCACCAGACTAGAACAATGAGAGAAGACAGGATGGACGACTAGGACCAGAAGTAGGAAAGCTAAAATTATTAGTGAGACAATTCCCGGGATGCGGCTCGCATGGTGGCACCAAGACCTCGCAGCATATTGTTGGCGCGAGGTCGGCTGACGAGGTGGCTTGACAATATTGCGCAATCGCATTGCTGTAATCGTTTCCGGCGGAGAAGGAGTCTGGTGGCATGGTTTAACAAAAAAAGAAAACAGGCAGCAAACTGTCTCACGGAAGAAAGCCTGCTGTTGGCGCGTTATCGACTCATCCCCACGCTGTTATTACTGGCAAGGAAGGCTTGAGGGCCCGGGACAACACGGCAGAATCCCCTGGACATTGCATCCAAACTGAGGCAAGACCCGTACGGTAGTCTAGGCAATGCTTTTGGACTCGGGAAGCCGTGCTGTCCAGCCCGGAAATGGCTGGGTGACGGAATCCTGCGCCGGGCTGGCCAAGAGCCCAGGGATATCATGACTTCGCGAGGCGCAGCCTCCAGAGAGCAACACCATGCGTCACAGCGGTGGCAGTCAGAAACGAGTGTAGTATTTCTTTTTGGTATGCTAGAAATGGATGCAGAAATCAAACGGCAGTGTCTCGGTAGTAGGCCCAACAGCATCGCAGCTTTCTTGACTCGTACTGCATGGCCCGTCAAGGCCATTGTACAAGTTGACAGATACGGCCAGCATGGCAGAGAGTCAGAGACTTGCCGGAGATTTCAATGATTCAATAAACGAGTGTAATGGAAAGGAACATGTAGTAAGCCTTGCGAGGGCTAGCCACCGGGACCGAAACAGCCATGGAAGCAGAGTCGGAACTCGAGTGCAAGCGAGCCGTGAGAGCTAAAGAGTAGCTGGCTCGGTGTGCAATTGTATCTGAGAAGAGTCAGCGCCATGGCCGTGTGTGACGGGCCATCAAATGCCTTGCCTGAGTCGTTTCTAGGGAAACGCCGCGGCTGGAGACGACGCGAACGAGGCATTGGCCAGAGTCCCCGACGACAAGTTGCAGCTCGCACTCGTACCTCTGGTACCGAGGGAGTAGGGGAAACCTGCTCTTCACCTCGGCCGGCGGACCGTTGAGGGGAATAGAAACCTGATGGAGCTCTTGCACACCCGCTGGTGTCGTCAAGGCCGTCATGTCAGCATGTGTACGTTCCGGCAGGATAGGAGGCTCAACGTACACTGTTGCATCTTGTTGGGGAGGTATCTTGGACTGCGTGAGGAGCAAACAATGCCCACGGTCCAGTCTTCTGCATCGCCTTTGCGAAAGGTTCTCGCGATTCGGTGAGTGACTCTGTGATGGCGCTGGATCGTATCGCCCTGCTTGATCACCCACGTAATCTGCCCCTGCGAGTCGTCGCCACGTTGGCGGTGGTTGGAATCGACCTGCTCCGAAACGACTCCGTAACTAGCCCGTGCGATTCTGGGCCCCAGAATGCCATTTTTTCGGTCGATGAGGAGACCTCTGACCACGGCGATGGGGGGATAGCTATATCTCACGAGCTCAGCTTCGCCGAGACATGGTCTTGTATTCCTCAGCCACTCGAGAAACTCTTGTAGTTTTTCCAGCACGTAGTCAGAGGCCCCCAGACCGCCGGATAGAACGACGTGTCTCTAGCATGCAATGGTTAATACGCACACCGATGCTGGCAGACGGGTACTCACGACGCGCGTCCCCCCGACCCTTTCGAATTCGTCGACTGCCGACACAAAATGGCTCTGGATGTCCTGTATTTGACGGTCAAACATCTGGTCCAACTCCTCTCTGCATCGTGGTCAGCGCAGGTCTCGTATTGGAAAGGCTCCCGGAGAATATAACCTCTTGAAACTCGCCAATTCATTCGCCACCGGAATCGGCAGGTTGCCGAACGCGTTGGAGATGGGCGTTGCGCGAAACATGTGGCCCATCGTATTTTGTCCCGCAGCGTATGCGCATTTCCAACGTTGGAATTCGTTACCTTGCGACATTTCCGCGGCACATGCCCTCGAAAGGTCCGGGGACTTGGTGTAGTCCTCCAGGCGAGCCTCGACCAGATTTTTAAAGGTCAGGTCGATCATGACAGAGCCTACGCCAATGGCCGTGGCGGGCAATACTTGCTTCATAATGATTGGTTTCATGGATTGAAACGTGACAAAGGCAAAGTCGGTAGTACCGCCGCCGGCGTCGATGGATAAGACGGTCCGGCCTTCGTCCAGGTCGATATTCATCTCGCTCGTCGCAACCACGGCTGCCACGGACTCTGTCAACCCCGGCACCACTTTATGGTGAGCTTGTCCACCGAATCCAGCTCTACGAGCCGTCTCCAAGAAGCGGTGGACGACAAGCGGACTCCATGTTCCCGGGACACTAAAGACGAAGTCGATTTCCCAGCTGTCCCATCCCTGGAGCCCGGGGGCCGCATTCGGAATCTCGCTCGGGATGCTCCGCCTGATGTGTCGGTAGACCTGGCCAAGATAGTCCTCCACCAGAGCATAAGCCTCGGGTGTGCTGTTGGGTGCCCAAGGGGTGCCCTTGAGCTGGCCGGGTTCGCGGTCCAAGGACAGCTTGAGGAACCTCCACTTGCTGCTCTCGTCAAGATGGTTACAAAGGAACCCCCACATTCTATCGTTCTCAGTCGCCTCCTTGGCCAAGATGGTAGGGACTTTGTCGGCGCTTCCTCCGGGCCAGTCACTGACCAGAGTGATGCGCCTCTCGTCTAATGCAGGTGCCATCCAAGATACTCCTATTTGAATGTTAGAAGATCCATGTGGTGACGAATAGGGGCTGCCCTTTTTCATAACCTGTAAAGGTGGTACCAAAATCGACGCCGACGTATAAGTGAAGTCGGCCAGATGCGACATCGGCGCGATGGGACATGTTGGAGAAGTCAGCTACACGTAAGAGGATGCGATTTCTTGAATGGAGTTTGGGATTTGGGTAAAACAGTTGCAGGCCATGAGCCGAACAAGATGAATGTTTTAAACAAGCATCATGACCCGTGGGTGCTCCAGAGCGGCAAGCGTTGACGCGTTCCGTCGGTCATGGTCGTGCTGTTCCGGAGGCTGGAGCAAGCAAACTGGGAGGCGGTGTCTGGAATCTTCCCACACCGGGCGTCGAGTAAGCCAAGTGTTTGTTTGCTTCCTTTACCGAGAAGCGAATCGACTACCACGACATGCTTCTGCCGAGTATCCAGAGGCCAGGTATCCCGTATAATCCCTGATTCAGCCAGACAGCTCAACCCCAGTCTGTCTCACGGTTGCACCACCACACAAACGTGCCCCTACTCGGTATGCGGGGCGTCGATGGCTAATAATAGCTCCTTTGTTGACATTCCAGATTCGACAATCCAGAGTAGTAGTCGGTGGTGCGTGCACGGGTCGAGTGTAGTCAATACGCACAGCCGCCACGTCAAACCGTGCCCCCTTTGATCAACCTATTAATACTCGGGCATTGTTCTCAAGCTCGCGGTCCTCATTTTGATCCTCTAAGCGCCCCAGGCTGTTGTAAATATTCTATATATTCGCAGCTGCACCCTTTCCTCCGTAGCTACTTGCTTGCATACTGCCCTCGCCCACCCTTGCCATTTGCAAGTCCTGTACCGGACAACAGAAGCATTCACTGCAATAGCCGACATGTCCTCAACCTCCGTCCGAGACGGTGGAATAGGAGCAGCAGTAGGAGTCATTATTGGCATACTTCTGGGTGCGGCCTTTGTCTGGTTTTACTCTGCTAAGCAAAGACAAGACCGGCCGGGCGAGCCTGTCGTCTATCTGCGCGAGCCATCTAGGGAGGAAGAAGAATTTGTTAAGCTTGTTCCCAAAATCTTGACGACAATGACCCATTTTCGTCTGTGCCGTAACGATGGCCCAGATCTCAGGAAAGCCCTCGGAATGGCATGCGCGGGTTTCAGCATGCATACCCGGCATTACTACCACACGGACAAGCTCCCAAAGGTCCCCGAATCCCTTGACGAGAATCTCAGGCGTCTTTTTCTGGGCGAGGAACTTACTAGAGCTCTCAAGGAGCTCATCATGAATCCCAAGACGCGCTACCATGCACTTACTCATTTGCAAGTGCGTGTGGTCCTCTCCAACCTCGACATTCACACCATCGGCCCCCTCTCGCTTCTCCCCCTCTTCGTCACCGAGTTCTTCAAGTCTCTTCCTTTTACAACTTCTTCATACACGGCGCAGAATCTTTCTCGCGGTAAGTACTCCCCCGTCTCGGCATTAAATTGAGTCTCATTTGTGCTAATCGCTCATGAACCACGCAGGCCTCATGCCGTTGGCCCTCTGGAGAAAATTGACTGTGTACTCCATGGCCAAGCACAAGGGTCTTTTGCCGGGACCTATAGAGCCGCCCGAGATTGTCAGTCTGCAGGTCAATAGACTCGTCAATGCACTCGCTGATGTCTTGGACCATTTCGCCAAAGATATCGAGGACGGCGTACCCACGCACCGGGAGGAGCTCGCGAAGCAAATCCGCTGGGCTGTCAAGTTTGGCTACGAGATATTTTCTCACGGGATTGAATATCAGTTTCAATGGCAACCAGAACCTACAAAAGACGGAATCGTTGTTGTTCCAGGCCTGGCCGAACTCGCCGATGACGACGCCACGCCGCATGTGAACCCAAAAGTAATGGAGGGCACCCCAGAGATCAGAATACCGCGAAAGGATCCTTGGTGATGCCCTTGGGTGTGAATCGACCAGGCAGACGGACATGACGAGGCGTGGGTTTCTGTCGGGATGAGTCTGCCACGGCAAAGGGACTGATGATTTGCACGGGATGGGTGTAGCTGCCTAGTAGCTGCTGGTCAGGGGCGAAGTAGTGACAGTTGTCATTTGTATAGATTGATCATGTACTTTTCGCTTTGCATCCAAGATTGAGTTGGCATTCAACTGAATGCGTCGAAAAAATGCATCACTTTTTGGCATCATGTGCTGGTCTGCCCCGTCGTGATTCATCTCTGGCTCTTGCTTTGCCATCACTTTGCTGAATTGGTTCATCTTTATAGAAACAATGTGAATATTCAGATATTGCCATCCTTCTCAACTACGATACAGGGCGCAACACAGCATCAACCCGTCTCCGACCCTGTCGGATCTCGTCTCCATGTCTACAGCACAAATGTCGACATGACTACCTTGAAGCCATCCGAAGCTAACGACCCACGACAGCACTCAAGCGCTCAATACCCTCAGCCTCCTTTTCGACCATTTTTTCCCTCTGCCGACGCATGTCAGCCGCCTCTCGACTCGCGGCGTCGGCAGCCATCCGTTCCAAGGAGCCCATCTGAAGTAGCGCCTTGTCATACTTGTCCACCATGTCCGGGAGGTGCTTCTTGAACGTGTTTCCGTCGTAGGACAACCACTTGATTTGTTTGACAAGGCTCTTCAACGGCCTGCCCGGGTCCTTGGCGCAAGACTCGACCCTGGGCTTCACTCGATCCAGTGCCGCTTGAAGCGCGGCAATGGCGCCGTCCACGGCCATTTGCGCGCCGGGGTCGTTGTCCAGGAGCTTCTCATGCTTGGATTGCAAGTCCATCAATGCCTGCACTATCTGGTTGCACTCCTCGAGCGTCGATTCAGCAGGTCCGACGGAGCGACGAGCGAGGCCGCCCAAGGCGCGTAGATGCGCGGCATCCATGAGGTTTCTGCCGGCAACTGAGCCGGACTCTGTACTTTCTGCACCGGCCTTCGTGACCCCGGAGCCCGGGCTTGCCTCGTCGCTTCTCCATGTCCTGGCTTTTCGGGGTGCCGCCGTGTGAGCGCCACTGCCGTGAGGCAATGCCTCCATGTCTCCGGCTGGCGCCCTCTTTGCTGCATTCGCGGATTCTGCTTCCGGATAGAGCGAGAGCATCGTGCTGCCTTGTTTGGAATGTTCCATCATGTTGTCAAAGGATTTTTTCCACAATCGCGACTGCTCGCTGTAGATTGTCGTCAGCACTCGTCGTGACAGCAGGCAAAGCAAGAGACCCCGTGGGACTTACATATTCAGTCCCTGGAATATCACTTCACAGGAACCTGTGAGCGTTTCTAGTCGACTCTGAAGACTGGCAAGCTTTTTCCGGCCGCTGATGGTCCACTGTGTCGAGTTTGCCAGGTACTCGCGCTTGAGCTCATCCAGGTCATTCTGGACGCAGAGACAATTGTCAAGCAACAGGGGTACGTTTTTCGCCAGCTCAAAGTGCATTTCCTGGTCGTTCTGGAGGAGTTCCAGCTGCAAGGTCAGGGACTTTACCGCGTCGCGCACGGCATACAGATCGGGGCACTCATCACGTATCAAAGCCATGACAACCTTGGTGGCCGTCATGATCATTTTGAGGATGCTGCCAAAGGCGGCTGCCGCGCCAAGGACCTCCATTGATCAAGAGTCTTTGCGTGCTGGACGCGATTCTCGGCAACAGGATATAATCAACGTCGCTTGATTCAGCGATGAGATGTGAAGAGGGGAGTTGCAGGAAAACGAGTGGCTTCCGAGCGACCATCGGAGCACCCGAACTATTTATTCCTCGCCTGAGCCGACAGCGAGCATTCGGGACGTGAAACTAGGCGGCAGAGATTATCAAGCACCGACGTGGTTGACGCCATGTCGTCCTCCATCGCATATCATGGTCGCACGCAGAGGCTGAGGTGTACAGACATTCAGCGGTAATTGCTGCCCGTCCATCTCAGCCGACAGCCTGCACGCCACAAAACCAGACAGCAAGAATTTTCACCCATCGCTGCCATTGGCAGCCATGTAGCCGTCTGGCGTATTCCATGCGAGTATGTAGAGGCTGGGAGATGCCGATGCTCAGGGCTATTGGCGACTCCTCTCAGCCGGGGAGCAAACATGTACGCCACGAGACCAGGCAGCGGAGATTTTCATCCACCGCTGCTATTGGAAATCAATTAGTATTCTAGAATGTTATTTATGTACGGCCATATAGAGGCTAGGAGTCGCGTTGCTTTGTAAGAATTTCGTCACCACGTATAGTTGAAGCAGTTGTAAACTTGCCATCTTCCAAAAGTCCTTCCTTAAAGCGCATGTGTAGCTATTATGAGTATGGAAAGGATAAGCAATTATCAGAAGTCTCCTCCCGTCACAAGGCACTGCAGCCAGGGGGCTCCGTGTCAAGGACAAAAATCTGACCTCGTTGCCCAGGAGGTGGACCAGGAACGAAGTTTGCTTCATCGTCGGCCTCTCCGACGTCCGTGACAGGTAGCAGTCTCGCAGCCTTATTCAACATGCTGAAACACGATACCCCCTCGAATCTTCAAGAGATGAGCCTACTGTTATTACCTCCGCGTTGAATTTCCCGTTTGGCGGACCGTGCTCCCTGACAGTCTCTACCTGCTCGTTTCCTTGCAGCAGCGACATGCCTTGTTTCCTGTCCGCTACAACGTATCCTTGCCGGCGTACCGATGAGTCTGAGAGACAAACGAAAAGAAGCCACAGGGGCTGCCGTCTGTGCGCATCTCGTATCTGCGTGGGAAACACACACGGGCGTATTGAAAAATGGCCATGGTATTAGACCTCCAGTTGTGTTGGATACGGGCCAGCACGCCAAATCACCAGTCATCATCACTGCACAGGGTGGTGCAAGCGGAGAGACCATGTCATTGTTGTTTTTTGTGCATCTCCCTCGGACAGTAAGCTACTCACATTTTCCCAGCCTGTCAATGTGTGGGCTTTGTGGTCTTTGAATCAATCGATTCCTCGCATTGATAACAGCACGATAAACTTGCTGCTCACGAATGCCCTTGCTGTAGACACTTCCATCGCCACTGTTCTAGATAACTAGAATGAAAGTATCTCTTGCCGCAGCTCTAGCAGCACACAATCCGCGATTCTGGCTTGGTTTGCATTCCCGGGGGAGGTTTCGGAAAGGGACAAGTGGAAAATACTGGCGTCCTGCAACGTCCGTTGGCCGAATAATCAAACATTATCGAGTGGCACAGGCATATCACCAGCTCACAATAACGTTTGGCCTACCTCTTTTCCACCACACAAGCTTTTCTGCTTTAAGAGTACGCAGGGTTCGTAATATTTTCGTACGCTACTAGATTGCCTGCCGTGTTGCGTGGCGCGGCGGACATGTTATTGATAACCGTCTAGACTGAAATAAATCTATTCCTCGTCATAAAACTGAGCCCCCCGCACATCTTTCTCATTGACCTTCATCTGTATTCGTGTCTCTTCATCGTAACTCGTGCTTGGCTAATTCTTGGGCTCCCTTGCAATCTGCATATCCAACACCTTTTGGAGCTGACCAGGCGGAGCATCTTCCCGCTCCATGACAACCTCAATCATGGACAACCCCCGTGTGTTGTTCACCTCGTCATTCCCAAGTATGGTCTTCAGCTCGGCCCAGGTCTTGGCCGAGGCCGTGTACGTGTCCTTCGGGGCACCGAAGAAGCTCGGCGCCTCGAGGTATCGCCATCTGGCAACGTCATTATACCCCTGCTTCCTGCCGTGGATGAATCTCTCGATAGAGTATCCATCGTTATTGATCAGCACAATCACAATGTCGAGCCCGTGCTTGATCATGGTTGACATTTCTTGCGCCGTCATTTGAAAGCTTCCATCGCCGATAAACAGGATCGTCTTGGCCTTTTTGATTCCGTGCCATTTCGAAGACGCAATGAGCTCCTTTTGTGCGAGCGCAGCGCCCTGAGCGGCTGGGAGCATGTACCCGATGGAGAGCCACGTAACGTGGCTGAAAACGCGGCAGTGTTTCTGCATTGGCATCTCGCGGACACCAAATCCAGGCGTGCCGGTCTCTCCCATGACGATGTCTCCGGGTTGAATGAGATTGGCCAGGATCTTCCACACCTTGTCTTGCTTGATGATGTCGTCGCCAGGGGCTGCTGATGGCGCAAGAAGCTCGTACTTGGGTAGCGCGGGAAAAGGGTTGTATGATTTGATCTTTGATACATCGAGTTCCTTGAGCAGACGGGCTAGGACCAGTTTGGCAGACACATCGCGATACAGTTCCGAACCAATCTTGATGCCAGAGGTGGTGAACTCGATAGCCTCTTTGCTTTGCGGGATGCTATTCCACATGTAGGTGTTTGTACCGCTGTAGTGAGGACCAAAACAGAGTGCCAAGTCGCTCTCTTTCACAAAGTCATGAACGGCTTTGGCCCCCCACTGTCCCTGATAGACGCCAACAAAGTTGGACTCTGTCTCGTCCACCAACCCCTTTCCGAAAGGAGAAGTCAAAGTTGGCCATTTCGTTGTCGAAACAAACTGCTGCACGGCGTCGACGATGCGGAGAGGTCTGGATTCACCATCGACGTAAATGATGGGTTGCCTGGCGGCTTCGAGTTTGCTGACGATCTTGGCAAGGACTTCATCTAGGTTGGCAGTAGGTTCCGGCTCCGGGACAAAGATTGGCGTTTGTAGTCTCTCGGCAGAGACAAGGGCGTCCACCATGTCCACCGGGAGCTCAATGTACACGGGACGACAGTGCAACAGACACTTGGCAAGGGCGTCATCAACTTGCTGGGCGCTTGTCAGGGGATCCCAGAGTCGCGTCTGCGCGACGGTAACTTGTGCATGCATTTGCGAGAATCTCCTATACTCGCCATCGTTCAAGGTGTGGTGCATGAGGGTGCGCGCCTCTTGGGTTTGTCGGGCAGGGGTGCCAACGATATGGACGACGGGGGCAAGCTCGGCATAGGCGCCGGCAATGGCGTTTATTGCAGACAGCTCTCCCACGCCAAAGGTGGTCACGATGGCACCGAGACCCATGATCCTGGAATAGCCGTCGGCGGCATAGGCAGCGTTGAGCTCGTTGGCGTTGCCAACCCAGTTGAGTCCTGCGGGCTCGACGTGGTCCAGCATGGTCAAGTTGAAGTCGCCGGGGACTCCATGGACCGACTCGACGCCCAGTTGGCGCAACCGAGTGAATAGATACTCTGCAAGCTTGACAGGGGCCATGGCAGAGCAGAGAAAACACACGTGGTCGAGCGGTGCTGCAGTCTTGTTTATGCGTCGGCTTGGGAGAGTATTGTCTGGGGTAGATGTGTGGTTGTAAGAGGCAAGATAGACTCGAAATACATGATTGGAGCTTGACTTATAAAGGATCCACCGACCAGCCAGTAGTCTTTGGGGTCAACTGGTCCTTGACCGGCTTGCAGCGGGCCTATTTCGGAATTTTGCCGCCGCCCATTGGCCAGGCCGGCCTCGGCAACGATCCACTTCGGCTCTTACAACAGAGCCGGGGAAGTTGGCAAGGGCGTGCATGTCAGTTGTATGCATGTCAAGACATGTCCATTGCATCTTGTCAAAGCAACATGCCGTCCGGTGGTGACATGCTCGGCAATGCGATGCGCACCAGCGACTCCGTTCCTGTACACGAATCTGGAGTTGGTCCTCGCACGTCAGTCCACACTCTGCGCTCTGCGCTCTTGCTGAGGCGGAGCCAGTGCGCCAGCTCGGCCCAACTCAGCTCTTGGCCCGGAGCGGGGTGCGGGTGGGAGCATTGACTGACATAAAACATGACCTATTCACTAGCCCGACGTCGGACAGCATGATTGCGGCCTTGTGCGGCCTCTGGCCGGTATGTAGTGGTCGTGCAGGATTGCTATTCGCCAGAGCAATCCATATGCCGCGTTGTGTGCAGGCATTCTATTTGACTCGGATACAATTAATACACAGCACTGAGTCGTCATGCCCAATGCTCATCACGGCATATATGTGCCTTGTACCACCGCCAAGCCCTTCTGAGTAACTATACCCCAGGTTCAGGAGCCAAAGTTCGTGAACCGGTCCGTACCTTCCCTGAAAGTCCGGTGGTGGGGCAATTCATGTCCGGAGCCACGTGAGCTGGCAGCCCTGTCTTTTCGTCCAATCGGGGAACCATCGCCGGTCTTGGTTGACATTCTCAGACACAAAATGATTGTGCCCATTTTCCCTTTGCACTTGTTCCTTTCGCCTTGTATGCGACCAGCCATCTCACTTGATAACTGACGGTCCCGTTTCCCGACGAATTGCCCGAGCTCCCCCCACACTCGGGCCTGTTCTCATTACAGCCACAACACTGTCTCTTTTCTTGTTGTCTGGCCGAGGTATCGTAGACGGCGTTCGAGAAAGATGGTATTGGCGACGCAAGGCACCAGATTGTACAGGTTCGGCGAAGTTATAGCCGAGGGTTATATCTGACGATCCGTCAATCTCCAAAGTGCCTTCCCTCGCCCTGCGTGTATCTTGGTGCGTCTCCTCGGGAGAATCTGTACTAGTCGCCAGAGGCTTGACAGAATCATCGTGACGTTCGACCTCAAAGGATACCATAAAGTCGGTGCAATTGTTATTATCCCAGAATTCCAGGCCGATTACACGATAGCGAATACAGAACTCCAACCTGTTGCGTCCCAGGCGGCTAAAATCCAATATAGGTATGGAGAAGCCGAATGAGTCTCTGTCTTCGTCCACATCTGGCGATGCGATTGACTTGAGATAGTCGGCAGCTACCTCAGATTGGGTTGTCCAATTGTCTAGGGTAAAGCGGCAAGTAACGTGTTTCTCAAAGGCCAGGTTCTTCACGTTGACAACGCCAACTACTGCCGTTGCATCGCCCAAAAGGCGAACTTCTTCCAGATATACATTGGATTTCGGGCTTCTCCAACTTGCGGAGCATCTCAGGGTTGAGTCACCCCCGCTGGTACTGGGGACAAACACCGATGAGGCATGCTGCAGGGTTGCCGTGAGTCGCTTGCCGGGGAGGCATCTGGTGCTTGGAGGAAGCCCGCTGACAGCCCGAGGCTGGTCAAGCTTGCGAAAAAGCCTGACATCTTCGAGCTCATCTTTGAATCGTACAGCCTTTTTCTTCGCGCCTGTCTTTGCATTGGTCGCACTCGATGCAAGCAAGGGTCGCACTCCGCTGCAAGTAGGCTCGTCAAGTATCGGCTCTCGCCTTGCAGCATAGTTACTGTGGCCACTATGGCCCTATAAATAGTAAGCTTCTAGTCCCATGGCTACTCCTCATGACTGACCTGAGCTGCAATCACCTCCTTCGTATCCAGTGTCAATTGAGAAATAGGATGCGTATATGGCATGTCAGAAAATATGATCTGATGTTGATAATAGCGTTGCCGGCTGATATCATCGGCTAGCAAAGGCAATTGTTGCGAATGATGAACACAGGTGTAAACGGGTTGTATGGAAGAGTGTGTAGGAGCCACGCCCTTTATCTACCACGGACAAAAAGGCAAATGCTGTACTGCCAGCTTCGAAGTCGAGTTTCCCTACATGGGTACTGATAGTACGAGATTTTCAGGAGCATCTATCCTTTTTCTCAGCCCTGATAGTCCCCATCTGCCTAGCTCCGGGGAAACCCGTAGGACTCCCATGTGGATAAATAGGGATCCTGATAGCCTGTGGCGCAGACAACCATGCTGGATTGGTCGCCACCAACGACATGTCACGACATGATCACCCCACCGCCGCCTTGTGTGTTGGTGGCCTGACACCAGACATCCATGTAGAGCCTTCTACAGGGTACTAGACAGCCAATAATCGGAAGATACGGCCTGTGGAAGAAATTATCGTGCCAAGTGCGGTGATCTTGAGTGCTGTAAACGGAAACTCAAAATTATTCCACGCATAAATGGGCCTTCAACTCACCTCCAGTTGGCGAGACACGACAAATCAACAATACATGATGCAATTTACACAGAAACTACCGTACGTACCTTTTGACCAGTCTAGCAACTTGCCCATGGAAAAGCCATACTAACGAGCATCGTAGCAACCATGAATAAAAAAAAGCTTAACCACGCATTGGTCGTGAACAGCAGGCCAACTACTCCTGTCCACGGATCCGCAAAGCAAAGAGCGACTTCAGGCGACGGGTCACGTACGCCTCGTAGTCACGCATACGCAGTAGCCATGAGCCTCACCGAGGGTTGGCAGCCAACGGCGCAAAACGAGGCACACTTCAGCAGGGAGGACGAGAAGCATCGGCTACAGACGGCCCTGTGTAGCATCGTCACAGCGCCAGGGTTTTCTGAGCAGTCCACAGCGACGAGGAAATAAAAAAAGCAGACAAAATAGGCGCCGGGCACAAGATGGGCGCCGCATGGCGGGAAATGCCATTCGGGAATGGTGATGTCAGTCCGTCCACGCGACGGATAGCACAGGCGGTTTCTTACTAAAAAACATTGAACGTTATTTGCAAAATATTCGTAGTAAACTGCGTCCTCGGTCTCCCCGCGTCAGGAGATGATGAATGGCGTCTGGTACGCCGGGCTGCACGGATGTGAGCAGTCTTTTGGCGGGCACAAGGCTCGGCGGCTCCCGGACCGCCCAGGCTCTAGAGATTTACGATTTCAGAAGCTGGTCGGCTTTGAAAGTGGCTGGGATTACTCGGCTGAGGAGTCGAGTCTTTCCGTCGAAAAGCCACATGCGAACACTGCCAAGCCCCAGCGGCTTGCAGAGTGGCGGAATGGCGTTCTCCAGGACTTGTCCACCTCTATCAGATGTTGCCTGGAGCACGAATTCAAAGCTTGAATGACATCTCCTAGCCATCAGTTGATGAGAGTGACCTTTTCATGTCCACTATTCACATCGGGTTGCTGTTGATTGATGTGACACCTTCTTGGAATTGGACCCTATCCGACAAGCTTCATGGCACAATTGCTTACTATACTTCTGAACTTTGTGCTGGCAGTATATGCCATTTCATTCCATTGTGGTATCAGCAAAGTTATTTTGATGCTTGGAAGGTTACTTTGAGAGCATGACTTGACAGTGCTGAATTAGGAGATATCACCACCAATCTTTCCTTTGTGACGACCTGGACTAATCACTTATGGGGTTCACGTTACGGAACTGACATTCATCTAGAAAGCTTGATTCATGTACACCATCGCAACGGGAACTCATATGTCACTAGGAAGAGCTAGCCATTGAGAATCGACAATGGTCCGGAGATGCTGCCAGTGATCTCAGTTGACATGATGCGTTACCCAATAAACTGGCCTGTGCCAACCGTATTTCATACTTGAACTACAGTACAACAAAGAAACTAAATGCACCAATGCCAGACGTTATCTGACTGCGCAATACTTGGAGCTTCATGTTGCTCGTTACGGGATCAAGAATACCACTGAGCTGGTTTGTTTAACTACTACCCTTCTCAAGTTTCCTGAGCGCTCGATATATTATTTCGATCGGAATATATGAGATGAGATTTCGGCGGCGGAAGTAGAGAAACCCGCTCTCTATATAGTTTAAATAGTGGAAAGATGTGACGCTGCTGTGTGAATACGGCGTCTAATCAAGCGGCTGAATGTATTCAGTACAGGGGTTTTCAACGATTCGATCTTGAGAATTATCTCGACTGAAAGGAATTGCATCATTTAGATTGATAGAAACCCACCATAACACAGTCAATAAAAATTGCTGAGGCAACTCCAAGTACGCAGTTAGTCTGAGACTTTGTATCACGGTGAAACCACACCAAGCAAAGGGGAATTCCACTACAGCCTGTTGTAGTTGAACCTTAAATGCACCATTATGCAAGGAAGTCCATCACTGCAAGCAGGAGAGAAATCGTATGTTCATTCAACATGCTCGGAGCTATCAAAATATACATGAGCAAACAGGCGCCTCCTTGTGAATCTGACGAAACTTCTTTTTAAACAGGTGTTGAGCTGACAACCGCAAGTCGGACCAAAGTCTTCAACATGGCTTCGGATACGCCGTCAACCCGGTATGTTCGCCAACGCCCTCGGGAACTGACAGATACTCACGCGCGGCAACGTGCAGCTTTTAGTAGTATGCCAATTCATTGCCAATTTCGCCGCCCAACAGAAATATGGGCTGCCGATTACCCGGATTTTCAGCATTCCAATGGCGCCACAAATCGGTCTTCTTGTCGGCGCCGGCCTCTGGGGCTTCTTGGCAGATGTCATTGGAAGAAAGCTCGCATTCAACACCAAGGTTTTTTCTTGCGCCGTACTCGTCATCATTGCCGGTGGCATGCCGAGCTACATTTCTTTCACGTCTCTGTATGTGTAGCGTCTCCCCGTCGTGTATCCGAGGATTGACTGTGAACTCAGCGTGGCACTCTACTCTGCCGGGGGGAACTACATTATAGATGCCACTAACTTCTTGCAGTTCCTGCCAACCAGCCATGCGTGGCTAGTCACTTTCATGGGGGTCTGGTGGGCGGTTAGCTACATGAAGACTGGTTTCTTGGCCTGAGGATTCATGAGCACCTATAGTTTCACCCCCAAGGCTACGCCAGCAACGTGTTCTACTTCAGATAAAATGGGCTGGCGATATTTGCGTTGTACCTGTGGCGCATTGATCCTGGTATTGGCACAGGCACGGCTTGCCTTGGCCAAGATGGTGCAGGCTCCGCGGTGGCGGATTGCTCAAAATCGCGATGAGGAAGTCATCCAGGCCTTGAACAACATCTCCATCACGGCCCAGAGGCCTCATCCACCCACACTTGAAGGCTGCAAGAAGAAGAGGTGGTCCTACACACTGAGAAATCGGTTTGGTCCTCCCTGCGGCTGAAGATGCCTTTCATAGGCTTGTTCAAACGAGAACTCTGGCCTGCTTAGCCAGGCTCATCCTGTCGAGCTGGTTTGTTATTGGAATGGTTTCGCCATTATTCAGTGTCCTTTTGCCATTTGTCCTCAAATCACGCGGGAAAGGTTTGCAAGAGGCTCCAATTACGCGACCTGGAGAGACTATGCCATCAACCATGTTGCCGGCCTCTTTGGTCCGGTCATCGCTGTGATATTAGTTGAGACCAAGCTTTTCGGGAGGCGTGGTACTCTGGTAACTAGTGCATTCATAACGCTGTTGTTTCAGTTTGGATACACGCAAATCAGAACTGAGGGGCACAACACGTTGGGGTATCCTCCGCGATATCCGCTGCACCGTGAGTGAACAGGTCGTCCCTGTTTCCCCTCGGAAGCTGCTTATTCAATGTACTGGGAACATTTACTATGGCACGATTTACACATACAACCCCGATAGCTGACTATTCTGTTTAATCAAGACGTGTTGGCCGGTACGTGGGTGGCTTCTCTTTCTGCTCGCATTCGCCAGATTTTTGGACGTTCTTCAAACCGGGCACCTAGAACTGCATAATAAGCAAGTATCAAAAGAAAGTGTAAGCGGTGGCACTATGGACATTTAGTAGGATCTCGATGTTGTATTTCAGATACTGTTGCTGGACGCAAAGTATCAGGAGTCACAGCCACTAGTCCGACAGATCTTGGAGCTATTTCCCCGTATCTAGTGGAAGACAAACACATTGACGGCATATTATGGAGCCCGGACAGAGGTCACAATTTGCCTCAGTGACATTCCAAGGGAGTGGAGTGATGGGCAATGGGAACGCAGATCGGATGATGCGGATCGGAACCTCGGGTCCTCCCACTTGAACTAGACTCTACGTCCGACAGCCAATGCCCTTTATGAATACTGTAATGAAGCGAGTGAGTAGTTTCATCTTTAAGCAGGGACCATGTTTCGCCCCCAAGGGAATTCTATCTCCTGGGGAGTGTCATTATCGAGTGCAGATCAGGTGGATCTTGCGCTATATATGCTACTTTGATATCTACGGCCCGTCTCCCCCGCAGACTCCTGACATGTTTTCAGTAGCGAGGACAAATAGAACAAGGTCCACGAATAAATGTAGTATTCTGCCTTGCAAGTGGGGAATAGCGAGAGTCCCAAGTGCGTATAGTATCCCTGAGTTGATCGACTGTCGGCGACAACACCTTGCGCTGGTAATATTGATAGATGTGAAAATCATTTGGTAGACTGACAAGGCGTTTATATAGAGTCAGCTTTAAGGCCATCTAGAAGTCCTCTTTGTGCTGTTTAGAATGTTGGAGAGAGAAGAAAGAAAAGTGAGCTTGTTATTATTCCAGTCATTTCTCAAATCAAGTAGTACGATGTATACTAGAGGACAGCAGCTACCAACTATAAGAGTTCCTTTAGCACATAGGGGTAAACCTGTCAAAGTCTCCAGAGTGTATACTAGCAATTGATCCGTACATATATCCAAACTCAAGAAAGACAGGATAGAAACAGGAACTGGTTGGGCCGATAGTCGAGAGCACAAGCCGAGCCACCCTCGGGTTCGGTCCCATACTAAGTCGTACGATAAATGGTTCCATAGCAGGCGGTCCGACAGAATTGATAGAATAAATTCCCCGATATAGTGTAACCAGCTCCACTCGGTGGTCCCTTTTCAGTTCGATCTTGCATAACTATCTCAATGTATCTTGGGTGGGTTTGATCCGGCCATCATGCCGGCATTTCACATGGTCGCAGTCGCTTGTGATAAGCATAACTTTCTCTACTTGGCTGCCGGTGGCCGCTGTCTGAATGCCCAAGGCATGATACATTCATTCTATGGCTCTTCCCGCTGCGTTGGAGGGGTTGTTTCCCTGCGTGCCAGGAGGTTTGGACCCCGTGCCTACTTCGCGGCCTGCATCCCGAAACTACTTGGACAAGGAGGATTTTCGCAAAGAATTTTTGGACTCTCATCGTGACACTATCCAGCTGTTTTGGTACAAAGTGGTAGCAGTTTCTCGTTGACCTTGCCCGTTTCTGATACCTGCATATGTATAGTTGAACAAAATCAGAACATGAGACTCGGTACTTGGCGTGATGGAAACTATAGCTGCACATGTATAACTGAGCAAAATCGAAAAAAACAACTTGGTAGAGACTCTGCCAGCAATGGAAAGATGCAAAGAAATATTCGCCGATGTCCCGACCGATCCGAGACCGCAGCTGCCGAAAAAGATATAAAAGAGCACCGATCACCCGTCAAGTTGAAGCCCATCACCACCAAGTCACAACATCATCCAAATTTCACATCATTATACAATCCATTGATACTTGCCAGAATGCGCTTAATCCAGGCCACCGCTATTGCCTTTGGTCTGCTTGACCTCGCCATAGCTCACAGCGACTGGCCACCATTCAACTCATGCATCTGCCCGGGGAAGATGTGGTGCCACGGCGATACTCCCCAGTGCACCCCGGACAACACCAACGCCACCCTGACCCAATGCTGTGCCTCGGGTCAAATCGCCCTCTACGGAAAGTGTGTCAGCCGGGGATCCCAGGCCTGCCCGGACGGCGAGACCATTTGCTCTGGCTCCGAGTCCCAGTGCGCCGTCGACAACAACGACAAAAGCATCTGCTGCGCCGCGGGTCAAATCGCCCTCAATGGAAAGTGCGTCAGCCGGGGATCTAATCTCTGCTCGGACCGCGAGACGATTTGCTCCGGCACCGAGTCCCAGTGTTCCATCGACACCAGCGGCAAGAGCATCTGCTGCGCCCGCGGCCAGGTCGCCGTCTCGGGAAAATGCGCCGAGCCGGGCTCGAATGCCTGCTCAGACGGAAAGACTGTGTGCTCTGGCAAGAATTCGCAGTGCACTGTTGATGTGACCGTCTTTGTCGGCAAGGACGGCGGCGCTGTTGCCGACACTGTTTGCTGTGAACCAGGCCAGAAGGCCATCAACGGTAAATGTTATGATGGCAAGGCAAAGATCATGCCCTGCTACCGTGGCCCCTGTGATTGGAGCCAGAATGTCTACTGTGCCTGGAACGCTGGCAACGGCGACTCTAGGTGCTGCAAGACGAATGAGTACTACGCGGGCAACTCGTGTGTCAGGAAGCGATAGGTCGATGGTATTGACGGGAGACTGGTCCGGCACGGGCTCATGACGTTTATCCCGGCAGGCATATACCACTCTCGGCTTGGAAAGGTGAAATACAATGTCGAGACCAGGCCGTAGTGAGTAGAGTGGGTGGACTTGAGCTTTGGGTATTTGTACTTGGCTGCCCGTTAAGCCTCGGCTGAATTTGTCAAGTAATAAACTTTTGCACATTGCTACTCTGCTTCCCAAAGGTTGATAAATTCTAGCTGTGTCACCCCATGGTTCGAGTATAGTGTTCCACGTTTCCGCAGAAGTTCAAGAGAAATACTTGAGTACTAAAAATTGCATTCTCGTCTCTGGTCGCACCCAGGTCAATTTTGCGCTTGAATATGCCGTTATAAAAAAATAATTTATATAATATTTTAGCCATACTGGCTACCACATCATTTATGTACCGATTTGACTGTATACGAGTGAATTGGCCCGTGGACGATTGACGAACCAACACGGTATGAACTTTCTTCTAGCCCGAGAGACTACGGATTTATAAACAACCCTACGCAACTAGCTATATAACACAACCGTGAGAACAGTACAGTGTTTCCTCCGCCATTCACCCTACTCAACGCGAATATACCGATAAGGCTTCGCCGTATAAGGCCCATCAGTCCAGCCAACAGGACGCTTGTAGGCAACGCAGCCCGTACCCCCCCTGCACTCCAGAGTGTTGTACGAGTTCCTGGACGCGTCGGCCCAAGAGTGGAAAAGGGTGACGTGACCGGCAGCACCGCCGGTCCCGGGCCCCAGCGTGCCGACTAAGTCACCGGGCTGAAGCTCAGCCCACGTAATCGGCCTCGCGATCTCGGGCAGGCTCACGGTGTTGTAGCCGGGAGGAGTGGCGTGAAGAGCCATGGTGACGAAGCCAGAGCAGTCGGTTCTGTAGCGGGTGCCGTGCTGATCGGGATACGTCGCCTCCATGGAGTATGGGACGTGCCTGGAGACCCAATACTGCCCACGGGCAATGATTTCCTGACGGCTGATTTTGCCGTTGATGGTGCCGCCGCCGCCACACTGGCCAGTGACCATGTTGGTTGTGCCCGTCTTGACGTAGTAGTCTGCGACGTAGCAGCCGTCCGTGGTCTTGTCCCAGAGAGAATCGCCGTCGATGGCTTGTCCGGCCGTCTGGCACTCGAGCTTGACGTCGTTGCCCTTGTTGTATGTTCGTACAACCTTGTCGCTGGTCGAGGGCCCGGAGCGACAGTTGACGCCGTCGGCCTCGATGGCGTAGGCACTGGCCGTGGAAACGACAGTGGCAAGAGAAAGAGCCAATGCTACAAACTTCATGGTTCGGGTCACTGGGGTCAAGAAGAGCGAGTTGGACCGTTGACTCGTGGCAAGAGATGTGGGCTTTCAATGTTTTTTATTTGTGTGGTAGGTGCTTTTTAGAGGTGTAATTGTGGTTGATGGTTTGGATTCAGGCCAAAACGACTGCTTCGATCTTTCTTTATACTTTTCTCGCTGTGCCAAAACACCAACGTGACGATCGTCATGAGCCTGCTTACCCAAGTTGGCCATGTTTCTCAGCTGGCCACCAACCCCTGCATGTATCCCAAAAATAGCAACCTTTGCTATCAAATCTTGCAGACAACCCCTGCTTGAGATCCAGCCTAACGGTAAGACGGGATAATTCTTGGCACGCTGACCTGGTGACGGCAGCGCCTGGTTGGACAGATTGACACATTCGCCAGCGTGCGAGGCGGAAGGTGACGGTGTTGGCTAGTCATTTTCTTCAAAGACGGGCTTCTTGCCACGGATAAAGGGCAGTATTTGATTAGTCTGGTATATAATTAGAATCTTTTGCACAGAGCTTCCAGGCTAGAGTAGGCATAACTGGCGTTATGCTGCCGTTTTCGGCTTCGGCGCGGAATACGTTGAGAGGCTTGTAGCATGCGACAATTTCGATGATATATTCAGCCATCACATCCATGTCAATCACATTCCGTCATGGTTCGGCGTGATGGAACATTATGCCAACAGAAACTATTATTGTTGATATATAAAGCTTGTACTATTAACTATAAACTAATAGTCTAGCAGTACTATTCCGAAGCCATGAATCCAACGCTGTCTACCATCTCTCGCGGTGTTGTCTATGTTCTATAGTCTATTGTTCATCCGGCAGCAAACAAAACAAACAAAAGGAATAAAGCAGCAAACTCTCCACATTCCAGCCCTGTGGCTGTATCCGTTCCATGTAGACGTTGACGCCCATGTACCATAGCTGTCAAGACAGGCCTTACTGGGGGCACTGGTCGACAGTGTCGGCGCACGTATAGAGCTTGTTGGGGCAGCACACCTTGCCAACAGGGCAGAAGAAGGAATCGCCGCACTTGGGGCCGGTGGTGGCGGCGGGAGAGGCGGCGGTTGTCGTGGTCATGGTGGTGGCCGGGTTGAGAGGAGGGCATTGAGGGCCGTCGTAGCATCCTCGCTCTTCGACGCCATTGTAGATGACGGCGCAGCAGAGCTGGTTGGGCTTGCAAAAGATGGAGTCGCCGCACTCGACGCCCTGGCTTTGCCTCTGCTGAAGCTGCTGCGACGGCGGCGGCGGGTTGGGGCAGACGGCAAAGCAGCCGAGCTCCTCGACGCCATTCACGTTGACGGCGCAGCAGTTGGGCTTGTCGCTTGGGCAAACCTGGTCGCCGCACTTGTTGGGGTATGACTGAGGGATTGCGCTGACCGCCGTGGTGAAGGCAAAAGCGGCGACGGTGATCTGCAAGATTCTGGAAGCCATGTTGTGATGTTGTTTTGGTGTTTGGTGTTAAGTGTTTGGCTGGGCAAGAGTGCTTGATTCAATGTTGATTCCGCAATGTAGTTGTCAAATGTAGTTCTCAAAGAGAGGAGAGGAGTGGTGCTGGAGTGTTTGTGTTGACTGTGGATTGTGTTGAAATCTTCTAGTTTAGCAGCGAGGTGTAGCCATATTTATAACGGAATCATGATGTATGCTTGTTGTTTCTTGACTTCTTATCCCAGAGCAGAGAGGCTCTTGAATCGCCTTCACCGATACCGCATCATGAACAAGTTGTGATGTTGCTGGCTGCTGGCGATGGCCTCGCTGTTCCCGAAAGGCTGAGCTGTGTGCTTCGTACAGAGGTTTCTCCGCGGCGATGCTGCAGATGCTGCTCGGGCTTGCTGCTACCGAACAGACATGATAGTCTTGACGGATCAAAGAGGCTGAACTGTCACGCCATCCGACATGGTGATAGGCGGCCACGGCTATCGGGCTGGACATGTGTGCGCCACCAACGCGGTAACTGCAGGAAAATGGAGCTGCTTTGTTTTCAGGCGTCAATATGCATTAGCTTATACAGGGTACGCAGGAAACAAGAGCTCATAGCTGTCTATGGTCTTGCGTCATGGCTTTGATCCGAAACCATTCACATATTAATACACTGCGTCCTGGGCGTAGCATTGATACGCATTCATAATGGAAATTTGCTTAGTTTACGTTCATATTGCAAAACGGTTGGCCTAGTGTGGTAACTGCCATGTTGCACTGGAATAACCGGCTTGTTCAACAGACTCAACAGACCGACTACAAATCAGTCCGTTGCTTTCAATGATTATGCTGCCACCAGCTATCCAGAAAAAGTAGTTGATAAGTTTGCAGAGACTTCTCAGACTGCTATTGAAATGGTGGGCAAGTTGTCTGGCCGCCTCGGCGCCACCACGAGCAGTCTTTGTGGCCTCGAGCTTGTTGCCACCACACAACCAAATGGTGTAGTACACACCCACCTAGGTAGATATCGGCTCTACCGTCAATAATTTCCATGGGGCCCCAGATGTTCTGGCCAATACCGGCAACTCAAGAAAATATAATGACGTATGAGTCGGATGCAACATGTCCGTTTCAAGTCTCCTAGGGCTGAAAGACGGCGCTATGGGCCTTACATGTAAGAGGCACAAGTGATATGCTTTCCCCATTAATGCAGGCCGTGGCAGTTTGCCTGGCCGACTATTCGGCAAGTAGTGTCACGAGTCGGTGTCAACTCACCCGCAGGTTGGCAGCCCATTCGGTTGGCGACATGACATTTCCGTCAACGCTACTCCGTACGGAGTATGCTGGCCTTAATCCCCAGTTCACTATCGTGTCCCCTCGGCTCCCGGCCATGTGGGTGTTTTAATTTCTCCTGATGATCCCTGCGGTGGCGGCCGTTCCTGCGCTTGAGCTATCTTTGGAGATCAAGTTAAACTTTATGCCCTGCGATATTCGGAGCCCCAGCAAATTGAAATCTAGCACCGAATATTGTCTGGTAGGACTAGCACTAAACAAGCAGCGAGAAAACTCCAATGCACTTAATGGAACATCATAGAGATACGACATCCCGCCGCGAAAGTGGTTGGCATAATAGCATTCTTTCAGGGCAATACAGAGTCATTATGCAGGATGAGCACAACCCACGAAGGCAAGCAACGGGCTAAACCACCTTATTTGGCCACAGTTAAGAGGATTCAGAAGCTATCCAAAAACATATAACTCACTTGAATGGTTTTGTCGGGGTCAGGAGATTGCCGAGCATGCAGGTACGTTGATGTCATGGAACGCCACGGGCGCTATTGGGCTGATGAAGCCATCGGTGCATATTCGTCCGAGCCAGCCATTTCCTCAGAAAGAGCTTCCACTGACAGCTTCGGGAAAGCCGCCCAGAAGATGGCGGAGTAGAGGTGGGAAAACACGCGCCATCATCGAGTTGATAATGCTAGCGCTGCAAGTCTCAACATCTTGGTATATATAAGCCCTGGTCCCTGGACCTCATGTTGAAACAAAAACAAAATTCCAACACAACAGTCTTCAATTTCTTTGACCTTTATCACTCCGACAATCAGTCACACCGGGTCCAGTTTATCCAACCACCATTACCACTGTCCGCACCTCCACAGTAGCCATAGGCATCCTACTTGCCTGAGAACAACGACAGACTTACTATTACAAAATGGCTCAATTCACCATCAAGTCCGCCATCGTCGCCATGGGCATGGCCCTCACCGCTACAGCCGTTCCCCAGTGCGCTACTGACGCCGACTGCCTCTCTGGCTACATCTGCGGCCCCAGCGACTATTCTGGCTCAGGTAACACCGATAATGTCTGTGTCCAGCTTCAGTCCTGCATGAACACGCCCGATCCCGAGTTCCCTCAAAACGGACCCAAGTGCGGAGCCAGCACCTTCTGCAACGTTGGCGGCTTCTGCGGCGGCGGCTACTACGACGTGAACGGCAACCGAGTCGGGACTGAAGTCTGCGTCAACCAGGCCACGGGAGTCAGGTGTGCTGCACCTTCGACTTGAAATATATTTAAGATTTTCACCTGGCTTGAAGCCCGAGACAATGAGGGTCATATGGTACACTATTAATACGAGCGATGATATTTGGTGTGGCGGCGGCTTCTAGACATGCCGGATTTTTTTACTGGAATAGACGAGAACCGGGGTTCGGTCCAAATGGATAAGAAGGCTTTTCTAATGTTTTATGACTTGTATTCGTGTTATAGATTTTGTTTTGGAATTACAATACATTATCTCTCGACACTCTTTGGGCTTCAAAAGTTGTCCATGGTTATAAACATGCACCACGGCTCTTTCGCTTGAACTCCCCATTGATGCTTGAAAATGGTGCATGTCTGCAAGAAATGCTTTGTTTAGTTGCTACTAGACTCGGCAAACAGTTGTTTCAGTTCACGACACATGCTGGAAGATGGACACCGCCTTACGGCATGTCTCATGAAGCGGAATGGCCGACTCTGGCAACGGAATATATGGGTGTATAAATGCTTTGCAAAAAGAGCATGTTTCTTTTTCGACAGACTAGCCTGCAGCTTGGCTTGAGCAATGCGAGTTTAAACTGCTTTGGAATCTCTTGATCGAGAGTCTTGGGTTGTTTTCTTAGCTACACTACTTGTCAGGCCGTCCTTTGCAAACCACCGTGCTATACTGCACGAGGAACATTCTCGAATAGCAGCATCACGAGGTAGCTTGGGTAAGCTCATCGAAGTTCTTACCCCTGAGAATTCCCCGCCACTGGCTAATTCATTTCTAATTTTATCAGAGCCGCAACCTAGGAAAACATTGACATATAGATTATATATATACCCACTATCGTTCTAAAGGAGATGACAAAACTTTCAATAGCAAACATGGTTGCTCTCTTATCTATTGGCAGACTTCGAGATGAATACTAAAAGGTCAGGTCACATGGCAGTTTTAAACTCGTCAACAATGGAGATGAGCCCATTGACCATAGCCTCAGCCGCCTCTAAGCTCATTATGTGTGTATTGCTATTCAGCTCCAAGAATAGCTTATCGCCTCGAGTTTCCGATACCATGTGTATTGACATGGGCACAAGATGAGGGTTTTGAAAAAACTGCACCCTCGATACGCCCGCGGCAGATTGAATCTGCGGGTTCTCATCAATATTCTGGTGTTGAATGGTCGACTCAAACGTTGAACCTTGTGCCCAGTCTGTGCAGTTCTCAATAATCTCCTTGTAGCCAAGGGAATCAGCTTCCCCCACCGCAAGAAACTGTTCCTGAACGGCGAACAGTAGTTCAGTCAGGGTCTGAGTCGACGGGAATGTGACCCGTACGGGAATAAAGTTGAGGCAGCATCCTACTGTCTTGTCGATGCCGCCTATTTCCGAGTTCCGTCCTGCTACCAAATGTCCGTAGACGACATCGCCTTGCCCAGTCAGCCGTGATAGAAGAAGTGCCCAAGCGGCGCTGGCTAGAGTCGCCGGAGTCATGTTGCCCGGAAGGCGAGGAAGACTTGTCTCTGCGCGAATATAAATTGCCTCTGGCTGCGACTTATGAATATCTGTCTGGGCGAGGAGATGTTTTCGCAGGGCACCGGGATGCTGCAACCCCTGTAGAAGCCTTTTCCAGTATTCGATAGACTTGGACCGTCTGAGAGAGGCGTGCGACAGGAACGAAGAGAAGCTCGGGGGAGGAGGAGCTGTTCCAGGCCCATTTATGAACGACTCGATAATAGTGGGCAGGCAAACACCGTCGTACTGGGCGTGAGAAATGCGAATTATCAGCCTCTCACCTTGAGTCTTGTGTCTGAGGAGTACCAGAGCAACCGGCGGTTGAGTCGCGGAGACCTTGTGAGCATCGCTGACACAAAAGTTGTCGAGGGCTACGTCAAGATTCTCGCTGACATCATGTACACGGAAGGGATGCTGGATGTTTTGGAGCACGACCTGCCAGAATCTCCCCTGCAGCCGCAAAAAACATGCTCGTAGAATGGGAAATTCGCCGAGGGTTCGTGTACAGGCTCTCTCCAACAGAGAGACGTCAGTGTTCTTGGGCAGATCTATATAGACGTAGTTTGCAAAGCGTCCACATAAAGCGTCATCAACGGTGTTGTCCTGGTTGATGCACATGACGGGATAAATACCCTTGACAAAACATCTTTCTTGGACGCTGGTGGCGGGTAGTATATCAGCAATGTCTTCGCCGCGAATGTCTGGGCAGAGGGAGACAATTTCCCTTGAAAGGGTTTCTTTGGTAGGAGAATCAACGAGCACAACCTCATCAAGCTCGGGGCCAGATTCCACCCCGTTTACATGCTGCCCGTCGACCAACTCAGCCAAAGTTTTGCGGTGGAAAACATCGGCTACCGTAATGTTGATGTGAACCTTTCGGGCCTCACTGACAAGTCTCATAGACGAGATTGAGTCGCCACCCAGATGAAAGAAGTTGTCGTCCAAGCCAATCATATCGATGCTAGCATTGAGAACCTTGGCCCAGATATTTTGCATAACCTGTTCCGCCTCAGAAGTCGGTTGTCGGCTTGTCCTTTGTCCGGAAGATCGCACAGTCTCCAACTGCTCAATGCTGAATTGGGCCGCCATCTCCCGTAATCGCTTCCTATCAATGTTTCCCGTCATTGTCTTTGGTAGCTCTGAGACGGAGAACAACAAAGACGGCATCATGTAAGCAGGTAAATGCTCGGCCAATCTGCCTTCTGCATCAGCTGGGATGGGGAGTAACTTGATAGGAGATCCTGGCTTATTGCCATTGATTATATCATCCTTCAGATGAACAAACATGGCAAGCAAAGAGTTTGAAGGCAGGTCTTCCCCTTGAGGTTTGATAACCTCGGCCACAACTTGCCCAACACCTGACATGTGGTTTTGGGCCCAGTATTCGACCTCCTCCAGCTCAATGGTTCGCCCGTGGATCGTTGCTTGAGTGTCTTCTTTGCGGCCAACAAATATCAGGCTTCCATCCATATTATAGCGAACTAGGTCGCCTGTCTTGTAGAGTCTGCCATGCCGTCCCTTCCGCTTGCCTGGAACGCCCATGAGCAACCATTTCGGGTCCTTGACGAAGGCTGCGTCAGATTTCACCGTGTTACCGAGATGGCTGCAACCAACAAGTGGCCCTTCGAGAAGGAGTTCTCCAACGCAGCCGGGCGGGAGCAGGGAGTCATGGTTTTTGGGGTCAACCACCCACGTCACTAGGCCGGCCCCCTTGGCGGTAGTGACGGCCTTCTTGGCACAGACTGTTACGGCTTCTGGTCGCAATGTGGACTGTTTTTGGGCTAAAGAACCCTCTTCTGTTGGTACGTCGGAATTCCAACTCCATATAAGCTCCAAGTCATCACGGGTTAAGAGGCTTTCGTTGCTGATTTTCTTGTGAGGTTCACTTATAAGCGATGACACGGCGGCTCCCATTGCCTTGGCTACTCGATCAGCTTCGGTGCTTGGAATAAACCCTCCTTTAAAATTAATGTCAATCGACAGATCTGTATCACTGTCGCCAACACTTAGAGAAATGGGGTACTAAGGTGAATCATGTTAGTATTGGCTGATACCCGGAGGCCATTGAAGCGATGGCACTGCGTCTGCCTACCTCTACTGGATCATGAGCAAATCTCTCTCGGATGGTATGTCCGTCCACAGATGCATCTGGTTGCTCGCCAACTCGTTGAAAACTAAGAATAGAATTAAACAACCCCGACGAGCCGACTTCAAGAGCCTCGTGGATTTCCATTAGTGAAAACGTCTGATGTGGCAAACTATCTACGTAGTCTTTCTGCGCTTCCCGCAATGTCTCCACGACCGAATGACCCCCGTCCAACCGAACACGGTAGGGGATCATGGCGATGACGGGTCCGAACATATCTCCGAGTCGGTCGACCGGCACATCTCTACAGGAGGCGAGGTTGCCAAAGCAAGGGTTTGCGCAGCCTGTGAAGTGATACAGCACCAGGGCCCATGCTGTCTGAATCACAGAAGCCGTCGTGACTTCCCATTTAGCACAAAATTCATGTACTTTGGATGCCTCGAGGCCTGGAACTGAGACGGTCATGTCCTTCGACTCCCCTGTTGCCGATTTCGAGGGCGGGAAGAAACAGGGTTTCACCCCTTCCAAATACTTGACCCAAAAATCACGATGAGAACCACGCGGTTGCTTTTCAACGTATCTGATGAAGTCGCCGTACGAAGGTGCATCCGCCGAGAGAGTGCCACTGTAGGCTTGCCAGAAGTCATGAAGCATCACGCCGGTCGAGTGTCCGTCCAAAATCACATGATTCAACTCGAAACAAATACGGACGTGCTTCTCGTCAATGCTAGATACTGATAGGTGGTGCTTCAGGGCGTACTTTTCATACTTGACGCGAGTTTGGCCGCCGCTTAGTCCACGGTCTATCGACGCCTCGGATGCAGACTGATCAAATGAAATGCTGGGTTTTGGGTCTTTAAGCACAACATGCATTGTCCTGCTGCTCCCGGGCACCATGTCAACCAAGATACTGCGCAGTAACGGGTGTCGCCGCACCACGGCTTGCCAAGCTCGTTCGATTCTGAGTAGGTCGACATGGTCGCCAGGCGTCTCAGTGGCTGTTATTTCAAAATCGAGCACCACTCGATAGTTGTCCAGGGATTTGAACTGGGCAAAGAGCAGACCCTCTTGCAAGCCGGTACAGGGGAAAATATCTTCAATATCCTGTGCGTTCTGGAGCCCCAACTGGCTCAATGTGACAGACCGGAACTCGTCCATGTCGGCGTAAGACGTAAACGCCAAGGGAAAGTCGGATAGAGTCCATTCTGGAGACCTGCTGCCCAATAGTGCATCCAAATTCGTCAAGGCAGCTTTGTAGCTTACCACCCAATGTTCGATTAAATCACCGTGTCGTGTGCTCTCGGGATATTCGAGGGACACAGTCAACCGGCCCTTGTCCACATGCGCGTTGAATTCAAACAGCGCAAAACGACGCAACTTTGACCACGATTCAGGATGGCAGTTTTCCACCATCGTGGTACTTTCGAAAATGCTGTCGTTTC